TGAAATGTTGCTGGGTCTGTTATAAAAAAGGAAAAGGACACTGTTTTTTTTTCTTTTGAAAACAGCAAATTTTAGTTAGTCAGTTTCCTTCCCCCCAAATCTCCAATTAGATTCTTTTTGCAGGAGTTAGTTTAGAGAATGCTGCTAAAGGTGCATTTGATACCTGCACATTTGGTTAAAAAAGTTTTATGGTAGTAACATATAACTGGCTGGCCAAAACCAGATGACGTGTGCATAAAAAGCAGAATTAAAAAATTACCACCATGCACGTTCTCTGAAATTTGTTTAGCACAATGGTTGGGGGAAGGATGTGAAAACACCTCATATACAATACTCTGGAATGTTAACATCATGAAAGTTTATATTTTTATAAAGTAAACATTAACGGGGGGGATGCAAAAATATGCCAAACTGAAGATAGGCCAAGCATACCTATATATCAAGTTGAAAAACTGATATGTACAAGTCTTGAATGTGGCCTTTTAGCCCCCAAACAACCCAGCAAACCTATGCATGGGTGATGTCACTGTACTCAGGAGATGTTGCTGAACACATATTGGGGTGTTGTTTGGCAGTGATACATAACAGGATCTGTTAATTCATGCCTAAAGTACAATGTATGTGTAAAAAACATGAAGAAAATTACTACCCAAAAGTTTGCCAAAGGCTGGTGGTAGAATTATTGCATGAAAAGTATTAAACTACCACCATTTAAAATACCCTGAGTTGTCTACTTTTCAAAAATATATGGTTTGATGGGGGTAAAATACATTGGCCCAAATAGGACAGGGGCGCTGGTTTACTACATGTCAAAATTCCAAGTTGAAAAATGGATATGCGCACCTGCCAAATGTGGCCTTTTAGCCCCCAAACAATCCGACAAGCCTATGCATGGGTGGTATCACTGTACTCAGGAGATGTTGCTGAACACATATTGGCGTGTTGTTTGGCAGTGACACATAACACGATTTGTTAATTCATGCCTAAATTACAATGTGTGTGAAAAAAAACACACAAAAAATGACTACCTAAATGTTTGACAATGTCTGGTGGTAGAATTAGTGCATGGAAAGTGTTAAAAAACCACCATTTGAAATACCCTAGGGTGTCTACTTTCCAAAAATATATGGTTTGGTGGGGGTAAAATACATTGGCCGGCCTTACAAATGTCCCAAATAGGACATGTGCGCAGGTTGACTACATGTCAAAATTCCAAGTTGAAAAATGGATATGCGCACCTGCCAAATGTGGCCTTTTAGCCCCCAAACAATCCGACAAGCCTATGCATGGGTGGTATCACTGTACTCAGGAGATGTTGCTGAACACATATTGGCGTGTTGTTTGGCAGTGACACATAACACGATTTGTTAATTCATGCCTAAAGTACAATGTGTGTGAAAAAAAACACACAAAAAATGACTACCTAAATGTTTGACAATGTCTGGTGGTAGAATTAGTGCATGGAAAGTGTTAAAAAACCACCATTTGAAATACCCTAGGGTGTCTACTTTCCAAAAATATATGGTTTGGTGGGGGTAAAATACATTGGCCGGCCTTACAAATGTCCCAAATAGGACATGTGCGCAGGTTGACTACATGTCAAAATTCCAAGTTGAAAAATGGATATGCGCACCTGCCAAATGTGGCCTTTTAGCTCCCAAACAATCCGACAAGCCTATGCATGGGTGGTATCACTGTACTCAGGAGATGTTGCTGAACACATATTGGTGTGTTGTTTGGCAGTGACACATAACACGATTTGTTAATTCATGCCTAAAGTACAATGTGTGTGAAAAAAAACACACAAAAAATGACTACCTAAATGTTTGACAATGTCTGGTGGTAGAATTAGTGCATGGAAAGTGTTAAAAAACCACCATTTGAAATACCCTAGGGTGTCTACTTTCCAAAAATATATGGTTTGGTGGGGGTAAAATACATTGGCCGGCCTTACAAATGTCCCAAATAGGACATGTGCGCAGGTTGACTACATGTCAAAATTCCAAGTTGAAAAATGGATATGCGCACCTGCCAAATGTGGCCTTTTAGCCCCCAAACAATCCGACAAGCCTATGCATGGGTGGTATCACTGTACTCAGGAGATGTTGCTGAACACATATTGGCGTGTTGTTTGGCAGCAAGACATAACAGGATCTGTAAGTTTATACCTGAATTGCAATGTATGTGAAAAAAACAAAAAAAACAACTATCTATGCAAAGTTTGGCAAAGACTTGTGGTAAAATGGCTGCATAGAAAGTGTCAAAATATCCTTAGATGAATACCCTGGGTTGTCTACTTTAAAAAAAATATATACATGTGGAGTGTTTTCCAGAGATTTATGACAGATAATAGTGTTACAATGTCACTATTGATACATTTAAAAAATTTTGTTTTGAAACCGCCATATCCTACTTGTACCTATAGCCCTATAACTTGCAAAAAAAAGCAAAAAAGCATGTAAACACTGGGTATTTTTAAACTCAGGACAAAATTTTGAATCTATTTAGCTGTTTTTTTCATTCGCTTTTGTAGATGAGTAAAAGATTTTTCAAGTAAAAGTCAAAAACATGTATTTTTTTCAATTTTTCATCATATTTTTTTATTTTTTTTAAATTAAAATACATGAGATTATATAAATAATGGTATGTAAAGAAAGCCCCTTTTGTCCTGAAAAAAACAATATATAATTTGTATGGGAACAGTAAATGAGAGAGCGGAAAATAACAGCTAAACACAAACACCAGAAAAGTGTAAAAATATTCCTGGTTGCAAATGTACAACATCGCAAAAACAGTCCAGTCCTTAAGGGGTTAATCTATGGTTAACTGTCTCTTTTTATGCTACATCCTCGATTATGTTTTTATGTGACAGCTGTCAAGTTTGGATGGCAAGATATTATCTGGTCAATAGGATTTGGCAAAGTGGACAGCACTGCTATACAAGATTATTGTGGCGCTGAGATGTAAATAGGCATCTAGAACGATAACCTGAAAATGAACCTCCAGAGTCTATTTCAGGGTGAATGCACCGTCCTCGTCTCTGCGTAATATAATAATTACACTTTGACATATCATGAAAGGCTGTAGACTCGAACAATGCAAGAAGGTACCGTTGCAAAAAATTCTAAAATATATATTTATTAAAAAAAAAAAAAAAATTGTGATAAAAGGAAGCATCAAAATACTAACCCCAGATTAGACATCTAGGGAACAAGAGCGGTTAGCTGATTTACTTCACTTGCCTTTCTGCAATTGAAATAGCTTGATCTATATTTTTATTAAAGGGAATCTCTGAGTGCTGACCTATTCTGCTTGTATAGATTATAGGAGGTCATCTATCTGACTGCACAGTGTTTTAGAACTTGCAGTCCTCCCTGTGGTTTATCAATGTGATTGGACGCGTTTATACTCACAAAATGTAGATGTTACGAAAATGTATTCATGTTTAAGCGATTTTAGAGAGACACTGTGCTCTCCAGGGAGAGCACTGTGTTCAGGGAGAAAAGGGAAGTCAGTCAACATTTTTACTCCTTCGGGATGACTGCCTCACAGCAAGCAAGATACTATAGCATTCGCAATGCATGTTTGTATTCCAAATGCTATACTGTTCCTTTAAAGCCCAGAAAGTCACATGATCTTAGTGTTACTGTCCTTAAAAATCAAATTAAAAAAACTGTATATTCTGAGAATCTTCTTACTTACTATGAGAAATTGCCCATTTACTCTGAAACTTAACTCTAATTTTCCACGAATATCTAAAAAAAATTCAATCTGAATATTGGAGCATTCACTTTTACAATGTTTCCATCCACGTTGAGAACATGCAAATCTGCCAATTCGTCCTGAACTTGCGACGATCTGCCCATTCTGTCTGAAAGCCAGAGAGTCTGCTCATTCACCATGAGATTGAGGCCTAGAGTGTCAGCCCTCAGCAATATCCTTTAGACAACCTGCCGGAACGAAAACATGTTTTAGCAATATGGAAAAGACTGTAACAGGCTATTGATATAACCGGTAAATAAAATGTCTATATTTTGGGATCATCCCGAACACTCAGCATTGATTCTACCAGAGCTATGGGCGGTTGGCCCAAGAAGTGTTAAACCAAATTGTCTTCCCCTGTGATGTAAACTGCTCTCAAGCCTTTCAGATGTCTCTAAGTCCATAACATTATGGATGCAATCTCTGAGAGAAAGAGGTCTACGCTTTGTTCTTTGATTGTTGAAACATGAAGCTGGACATGGCGCTTGTTGGAATGACCAATTTAGCATTTGCTCTCAATTTTTGCATAGCTCTTTACTTAAAATCTCCAGCAACACAGAAACAAAATCAACTAATCAAAAAAGTTAGTTGATACACAAAAGGCATTGATAACCCCACCTCCTCCTTTATTTGCTGCTCTAGCCTTGGCACAGGTCAGATTATTTTGTTTATCCCTAGTATTTATTAATGGAATTTTTCTACTGATGTATTTATCCTATACTTATTTCTGTTCCCTGGTTTTCCCCTAACCTGTCCCTACTGTTTCCTTATATATTTACATCTGTTTATTACTATTTGTTTGACTGGCCTCAGCACTCTGTCATTTGTGTAAGTGCTTTTACCTTCTGCCTCGGAACGCGGGCGTTGCAGCTGGCAGTCTGGTGGGGGTCATTGCTGTCAAGGGTAGCATGCTTGGGCATGGGTGGGGAAGGAGTCCAGAGGGCTCAGTTTGCGAAATTTTGGCGGGCCTGCGTTTTTAGCAGGTCCTGCTGACTGTTGCGCACGAGCAACGGCCATCTTGAATCTCCCCAGCTATCCATCTCATTCCAATATTGTGCCAAATACTAACGTGGGTGTCCACTGGTAATCACGGCACACCACCTGAGCCCCGAGGTAATTATATGCGGGTTCTGCAGCGGCAGACCTTTATGTTGAATGGGCCAAGTTTCCCATATGGTACTGATCTACCTATGCTTCCTTTTACGTGCACTGCATATTGATCATCTCTAAACGAGGTACAGCTCTGTGTACAACCGTGGTGAACCCAATGAAAAAGGGAGTTGCAGGGTCACCCGCTCCTACGAGATTCAGATCTCGGCTACCTCTCAATGGTTTCCCCAGGGCCGTTTGAAGGAATTTGGGGGCCACAAGCAAAATGGACATGGAGGCCCCACACGCACGCAAAGCCTACAGGAACCACAGCATAGCCATACAGTTTAAGTTCACCCACACTTTATATATTAAAAAAAAGGTTTACAGTGCAAATACTGCTTAGAGCTCTGCCCTGCCCCTTAGTGGTCTTTTCTCTTCTCACTCCCCCTCCCTGTGTTCTCATCTCCGCTTTTCCTCACCCCCCTCCCTGTGTTCTCATCTCCGCTTCTCCTCACCCCCCTCCCTGTGTTCTCATCTCTGCTTCTCCTCACCTCCCCCTTCCCTGTGTTCTGTCACCTCACCTCCCCTTCCCTGTGTTTTCTTCATCTCCTCACCCCCTCTCCCTGTGTTGTTCTTACTCCCCTCCCTGTGTCCTTAATGCCCTCCTTGTGTGGTTCTTACTCCCCCCTCCCTGTGTCCTTCTTACTCCCCTCCCTATGACTTCTCCCTCCTATGTTTTTTTACTCCCTCCCCTCCTATGTTTTGCTCCTCCCCTCCCTATGTTTTTTACTCTCCCCCCCTCTCCCCCCCAATGTTCTCACCTCCCCTTTTCTGGCTGTAGTGTGGCCGAGCTCCTCTTGGCTGTCAGTCCTGTTTCCGGCCAGACTGAAAGGAAGTGAGCACTCGGTGTGCACTTCCTGTAAGTCCGGCCCGGAACAGGTAACGGAATCTCCTGTAACGCACGGTACCCTGCCAGACTGACAGCCAGGAGGAAGAGGAGCTCGGCCACGCTACAGAGAAGGGGAGGTAATGACGAGGAATGCTGCAGCTGCCTGAGGCTCTCTATAGAGAGCTCAGGCGGCTGCAGCCTTTTAGGAAGCACCGGCTCTGCTTTTGGCCCCAAGCAGTTGCTTCGTTTGCCTGCCCGCTAGCGACGGCCCTGGGTATCCCCCCTGGTTATCAGGAGAGAGCCCTCCCACATTGGCACACAATATTTATACAGTCACGGGCAGTTTGGGGCCACTATACCCTGGGCGAGCCCCAGTTGTACCAGGAGACTGGCACCCTTATGTGATTGCCCTACCACCATTTCCCCCTCTGACTGTCACTGTTTCGAACACAGGACAGAACCAGATCATGGAAGACACACTGCAACCTACCCAGGACTTCCAAGCCATGATTCATGCCGCAGTGGCGGCCTCGGTGGAGAAAGCTCTGCAGCAAGCTGTACCCCAATCCCATGGAGACGCAGGCCCACCAGACCTGGTGGAGGCCTCTGGATCAGAAATGTCCAAGTGCCATTTGAAGGGATCAAGTCCTCCAACCTCTAGGTTTAAGGGCAAAGCACCTGTCTAACGACCCAAGCGAGTGGATCCATGGGAACCCATTCCCCCCACCGCCTCCAACCAGGAGGACTATGGTCCACCGAGTAAACTTAACATCGTGGACGAGTGGCTCGAAGATGGCTCACTCTCAGAAGACGAAGACTGGCTATGATTGCAGACGAAATTTGTCGTTCACTTTCTGGAATCTGGGTTTCGTGGGGAACAGACAGAAGTCGTCTCTCCCTCCCAGCTGGTCCAACTCCTCGACTCGAACTACGTATTACTATTGGCGAAAATGGCATTCATAAGGTAAGAAATCAGACATATCCTACGGATGGATACTATCCCCCTCTGGATACTCGCTCGGATCGTGGGACTCCTGTCCTCCTGCATTCAGGTGATTATTTCCAGGACCCCTACACTACAGGGCCATGCAACGCCTGAAGGCAAGATGTCTACGCTCTGGACACTTCTACGATCACTGGATTCCACTCAGCGGAAGTTCGGATGGAACTCCAGCTGGTGGCTCCTTCACATGCAAGCATGAAATTGCAGAGCGATCTTTGGCTCATCCCAAGACTTCATCGTGGAATCGGAGGCCAGCCTCTGGGGCTGGGGTGTCCGCTGCGCGATCTCGTCCACGGGGGCTCTTGGCAAGGTGAAGAGTCCGAATTCCACATCAACTGCCTGGAATTGATTGTGGGATCCTTCGCCATACGCAGCTTGGCCAAAGACCTGTCGGACTGCTGCATCCTGCTCCGCATGGACAATGTCTCGGCGGTGCAATACATCAAACGCCTGGGAGGGGCCAGATCCCATGCTCTCACGAAGGATATATACAGATTCTGCCTCTCTCGCAATATTACGCTTCAAGCTGAATATTGCCTGGTATTACCAACCTGACGGCAGACTGGTTCTCACTGCGTTGGCGGGACAACAGCGACTGGAAGCTCAATGTCTCAATCTTCCACTAATTAAATCATCTGAAGAACCCATTACACCTGGACCTATTTGCTTCCCGGACCAACCACCAACTTCCGAAATACTACAGCTGGCTCCCAGATCCAAATTGCGAAGCAGTGGACACATTCCTGCAATCATGGTCGAAATGAGGCGCATATGCATTTCCTCTGTTCTCCATGATAGCGAGGTTGCTCCGTCACACATGGACACACAGGATATCTCTCCTGTTTCTTTAGGAAATTCCTACCTGGATTTAGGATCATACTGTTTTATTGAACTTTTTGACATACGTTTATTGTTTGATTTTATCTGTTCTTACCCGTTTTTCTTTGTAGCGAATAGTAAACAGATACGAACAGATAAAATCAAACGATACACGTATGTCAAAAAGTAAAACAAAACAGTATGATCCTAAATCCGGGTAGGAACTTCCTGAAGAAACAGGTGAAAGATGAATTCGTCCTTTGAAGAGAACCATTTACACTGAAAGAAAAAGAAAACAAGTGAAAGGCAGCTGAAATTACATTATTTTTTTTTTGTCTGCATATTATGAACATTAAAGTAATTTAACCCCTTAGAACCGGAGGACGTACAATTACGCCCTATTATAGGCGGCTCTAAACGCCGCCGGGCGTAATTGTACGCCCTCCGGTTTTTGTTAACTTACCCGGTCGCCGGCGGTCCCACGCCGGCGTTCGCGGTGGGGGGGATTCCCAGGGAGCCCCCCTGCGGCAGATCCTTCTCCTCCGGTGCTCCCCGGCCATGTGAGAGTGGGGTCCTAGCGAGGACCCCACAATCACATGGCCGGGTAGGCTGCCTTCTGCATTGCCAGCAGGGGGGCTGCCTGTAATGACAGGTGGTCCCCCTGCTGGCTGAAAATAAAATTAAAAAAAGTTAATCAGTGTAAAAAATAAATAATATATACTTAGATCATATGTATATAAAATATATATATATATATATATATATATATATATATGATCTAAGTATATATATATATACACACATATACATACACACACATACACCGTCTAGGTGTATTTTACTATTAATATATATATATAATTATATATATATATATATATATATATATATATATATATATATATATATATATATATATATATATATATATATATTAATATCAAATTACACGTAGACTGATTAAATATATATATAATTATTGTTATATATATATTTATATATAATATAAAAAATAAAAATGTAAATACGTTAAAAAATAAAATTAAAAAAATAAATAATTAAAAAATATATAGATGTGTTATTTCGTTCTGTTTTGTGAAATTAATATATATATATATATATATCAAAATACATGTAGAACGAAATAATATATATCTATATACATAAATATATACGTATATATCACTATACCTATATATAAATAAAAATATTTTAAAAAAATTATATAGATATATACATATATATATATATATATACATATATTCTACATATATATTTATGTAATATTTTTACATAATTAGGTATCTTAATTAATTACAATTAGCAGGACCTGCCTGACAACCCATGCCGAAAGCAAAGGGAATTTAATTTGCTAGCACTATATTTAACCCTATAACTTTCCAAGACACCATAAAACCTGTACATGGGGGGTACTGTTCTACTCGGGAGACTTCGCTGAACACAAATATTAGTGTTTCAAAACAGTAAATGTATTACAACGATGATATCGCCAGTAAAAGTGAAGTTTTTTGCATTTTTCACGCACAAACAGCATTACACGGACAATATTATTGCTGTGATACTTTTACTGTTTTGAAACACAAATATTTGTGTTCAGCGAAGTCTCCCGAGTACAACAGTACCCCTCATGTACAGGTTTTATGGTGTTTTCAAAAGTTACAGCGTCAAATATAAGGCTTGTGTTTCATTTTTTTCACATTAAAATTCGCCAGATTGGTTACGTTGCCTTTGAGACCCTATGGTAGCCCAAGAATGAAAATTACCCCTATGATGGCATACCATTTGCAATAGTAGACAACCCAAGGTATTGCAAACAGGGTATGTCCAGTCTTTTTTAGTAGCCACTTAGTCACAAACACTGGCCAAAATTGGCATTTTTTGCATTTTTCACACACAAACAAATACTAACGCTAACTTTGGCCAGTGTTTGTGACCAAATGGCTACTAAAAAAGACTGGACATACCCCATTTGCAATACCTTGGGTTGTCTACTATTGCAAATGGTATGCCATTATGGGTGTAAATTTCATTCCTGGGCTACTATACAGTCTCAAAGGCAACGTAACCAATCTGGCGAATTTCAATTTCAAATGTAAGCGTGCTATATTTGACCCTGTAACTTCCCAAAACGCCATAAAACCTGTACATAGGGGGTACTGTCTTACACGTGAGACTTTACTGAATATAAATATGTGTATTTTATTGCAGTAAAAGCAAACAGTATTATGACATTGACCGTTAAAATGTCATGTAGAACAAAAAAAAACAAAAAAACGTATTTTCTCCCATTTTTTTCATATTAAATTATGTTTCATAGCTAAATATTTGATATTAAATGAAAGCCCTGTTTCCCCTGAATAAAATGATATATAATAAGGGTGGGTGCATTTACAATGAAAGAGGTGTATTACGGTTGGACAGACATGTAGCGCAAATGCCAGGTTTTGTTACCACCCCCGGGATAGCCCCCCCATATTGAGAATTTTAACAAAAGATTATTCCATTTGTTAGATCTTTGTTAGATCAGGTTTGATCAACAATTTTTTTCGTTAGATCTACTCTAAAATATGCGATATTAACAATCATTGTCAGGGGGGGCTAACCCGTAGCCAGCCCCCCCTCACCAAAAATTTGGAGAAAATGTTGTTGATTATGATAGCTCTACGTTAGATCAGGTTTGATCAGGCAAAATTTTTGTTTGATCTAGTCTAATTACTGAGATATTGCATATATAATTAGGGGGGGCTGGCCCCCCCTCAACTGAAATTTGGACAAAATGTTACTGATTTTGGTAGCTATTTGTTAGATCAGGTTTGATCAACTGTTTTTTTCGTTAGATCTATCACGCAAGAGGCGGTATTCCCTACTTAATTTTGTGGGCGTGACTACCGGTTAGCCCCCCCTCAAGTGAAATTTGAATTTTTATTTAATTGATTTTGGTAGCTATTCGTTAGATCAGGTTTGATCAACTATTTTTTTCGTTAGATCTATCACGCAAGAGGTGGTATTCACTACCTAACTTTGTGGGCGTGACTACGGGTTAGCCCCCCCTCAAGTGAAATTTGAATTTTTTTTTATTGATTTTGGTACATATACGTTAGATCAGGTTTGATCAACTGTTTTTTTCGTTAGATCTATCACGCAAGAGGCGGTATTCACTACCTAACTTTGTGGGCGTGACTACGGGTTAGCCCCCCCTCAAGTGAAATTTGAATATTTTTTTATTGATTTTGGTAGATATTCGTTAGGTCAGGTTTGATCAACTGTTTTTTTCGTTAGATCTATCATGCAAGAGGCGGTATTCACTACTTAACTTTGTGGGCGTGACTATGGGTTAGCCCCCCCTCAAGTGAAATTTGAATATTTTTAAATTGATTTTGGTAGATATTCGTTAGGTCAGGTTTGATCAACTGTTTTTTTCGTTAGATCTATCACGCAAGAGGCGGTATTCACTACTTAACTTTGTGGGCGTGACTACGGGTTAGCCCCCCCTCAAGTGAAATTTGAATTTTTTTTTATTGATTTTGGTAGATATTCGTTAGATCAGGTTTGATCAACTATTTTTTTCGTTAGATCTATCACGCAAGAGGCGGTATTCACTACCTAACTTTGTGGGTGTGACTACGGGTTAGCCCCCCCTCAAGTGAAATTTTAATTTTTTTTTATTGATTTTGGTAGATATTCGTTAGATTAAGTAAGATCAACTGTTTTTTTCCGTAAGATCTATCACGCAAAAGGCGGTATTCACAATCTTATTTTAATTTTGCACATAAATACCAGTAAATTTTCATATCAAGCCATAGGTGACATCATAATTTAGGAATTTGCTTGGATTTGCTAACAAAATGTGTAGATCATTTTCAATATTTTTTTTTTATTCTCTACATGCACAGTATTGAGGTGATAAAGTACAGCATATGCCCAGCCTGAACTTATTAGTGATATTTGAATACAGTTGCAAGAAAAAGTATGTGAGCCCTTTGGAATGATATGGATTTCTGCACAAATTGGTCATAAAATGTGATCTGATCATCATCTAAGTCACAACAATAGACAATCAGTCTGCTTAAACTAATAACACACAAAGAATGAAATGTTGCCATGTTTTTATTGAACACACCATGTAAACATCCACAGTGCAGGTGGAAAAAGTATGTGAACCCCTAGACTAATGACATCTCCAAGAGCTAATTGGAGTGAGATGTCAGCCAACTGGAGTCCAATCAATGAGATGAGATTGGAGGTGTTGGTTACAGCTGCCCTGACCTATAAAAAACACACACCAGTTCTGGGTTTGCTTTTCACAAGAAGCATAGCCTGATGTGAATGATGCTTCGCACAAAAGAGCTCTCAGAAGAACTACGATTAAGAACTGTTGACTTGCATTAAGCTGGAAAGGGTTATAAAAGTATCTCCAAAAGCCTTGCTGTTCATCAGTCCGCGGTAAGACAAATTGTCTATAAATGGAGAAAGTTCAGCACTGCTGCTACTCTCCCTAGGAGTGGCCGTCCTGTAAAGATGACTGCAAGAGCACAGCGCAGACTGCTCAATGAGGTGAAGAAGAATCCTAGAGTGTCAGCTAAAGACTTACAAAAGTCACTGGCAAATGCTAACATCCCTGTTAGCGAATCTACAATACGTAAAACACTAAACAAGAATGGATTTCATGGGAGGATACCACAGAGGAAGCCACTGCTGTCCAAACAAAACATTGCTGCACGTTTACAGTTTGCACAAGAGCACCTGGATGTTCCACAGCAGTACTGGCAAAATATTCTGTGGACAGATGAAACCAAAGTTGAGTTGTTTGGAAGAAACACACAACACTATATGTGGCGAAAAAGAGGCACAGCACACCAACATCAAAACCTCATCCCAACTGTGAAGTATGGTGGTGGGGGCATCATGGTTTTGGGCTACTTTGCTGCGTCAGGGCCTGAACGGATTGCTATCATCGAAGGAAAAATGAATTCCCAAATTCCCAAGACATTTTGCAGGAGAACTTAAGGCCATCTGTCTACCAGCTGAAGCTCAACAGAAGATGGGTGTTGCAACAGGACAATGACCCAAAGCATAGAAGTAAATCAACAACAGAATGGCTTAAACAGAAGAAAATATGCCTTCTGAAGTGGCCCAGTCAGAGTCCTGACCTCAACCCGATTGAGATGCTGTGGCATGACCTCAAGAAAGCGATTCACACCAGACATCCCAAGAATATTGCTGAACTGAAACAGTTCTGTAAAGAGGAATGGTCAAGAATTACTCCTGACCTGTGCAGCTGTAACCAACACAGGAACATCTTGGTTGGTTATTGGCTGACAAGGACTCCAAGCCAGATTATTAAGTCCAAGGGTTCACATACTTTTTCCACCTGCACTGTGAATGTTTACATGGTGTGTTCAATAAAAACATGGCAACATTTCATTCTTTGTGTTTTATTAGTTTAAGCAGACTGATTGTCTATTGTTGTGACTTAGATGATGATCAGATCACATTTTATGACCAATTTGTGCAGAAATCCATATCATTCCAAAGGGCTCACATACTTTTTCTTGCAACTGTATTCAAATATCACTAATAAGTTCAGGCTGGGCATATGCTGGACTTTATCACCTCAATACTGTGCATGTAGAGAAAAAAAAAAAAATATTGAAAATGATCTACACATTGTGTTAGCAAATCCAAGCAAATTCTTAAATTATGATGTCACCTGTGGCTTGATATGAAAATTTACTGGTATTTATGTGCAAAATTAAAATAAGATTGTGAATACCGCCTTTTGCGTGATAGATCTTACGGAAAAAAACAGTTGATCTTACTTAATCTAACAAATAGCTACCAAAATCAATGAAAAAAAATTCAAATTTCACTTGAGGGGGGGCTAACCCGTAGTCACGCCCACAAAGTTAAGTAGTGAATACCGCCTCTTGCGTTATAGATCTATCGAAAAAAACAGTTTATCAAACCTGATCTAATGAATATCTACCAAAATCAATAAAAAAAAATTCAAATTTCACTTGAGGGGGGGCTAACCCGTAGTCACGCCCACAAAGTTAGGTAGTGAATACCGCCTCTTGCGTGATAGATCTAACTAAAAAAATAGTTGATCAAACCTGATCTAACGAATAGCTACCAAAATCAATAAAAAAAATTCAAATTTCACTTGAGGGGGGACTAACCCGTAGTCACGCCCACAAAGTTAAGTAGGGAATACCGCCTCTTGCGTGATAGATCTAATGAAAAAAACAGTTGATCAAACCTGATCTAACGAATAGCTACCAAAATCAATAAAAAAAAATTTAAATTTCACTTGAGGGGGGGCTAACCCGTAGTCACGCCCACAAAGTTAAGTAGTGAATACCGCCTCATGCGTGATAGATCTAACGAAAAAAACAGTTGATCAAACCTGACCTAACGAATATCTACCCAAATCAATAAAAAAAAAATTTCAAATTTCACTTGAGGGGGGGGCTAACCCATAGTCACGCCCACAAAGTTAGGTAGTGAATACCGCCTCTTGCGTGATAGATCTAACGAAAAAAACAGTTGATCAAACCTGATCTAACGAATAGCTACCAAAATCAGTAACATTTTGTCCAAATTTCAGTTGAGGGGGGGCCAGCCCCCCCTAATTATATATGCAATATCTCAGTAATTAGACTAGATCAAACAAAAATTTTGCCTGATCAAACCTGATCTAACGTAGAGCTATTATAATCAACAACATTTTCTCCAAATTTTTGTTGAGGGGGGGCTGGCTACGGGTTAGCCCCCCCTGACAATGATTGTTAATATCGCATATTTTAGAGTAGATCTAACGAAAAAAATTGTTGATCAAACCTGATCTAACAAAGATCTAACAAATGGAATAATCTTTTGTTAAAATTCTCAATATGGGGGGGCTAACCCGGGGGTGGTGGTTTAGTTTACATTTTGTTTTGTTCACAATGTGTACATTTGGCTCCGTCCTTAAGGGGTTAAACCCAATTATGCATGTCATGAAGGAATAACAAGTCTAATTAAGTGGTAACTGGATCTAAATAACAACCAAACACATGCAATCATATAATGTCCAAACCGAGAAAAATCTATATGAACGTAACAATGCAATACCTACCATTCGGGCAGGAAATGTAAGGAGGGAAATATTCGCCTCCTGTCATTACTAAAATTAAGATTATAGGTACACTACTTTGGCATAATCTACAATTTTATGGCAAGACAGGAGGCTTCATATTTGCTTTATCCTTCTTTACTGAAACCTCCCAGCAGCAAAGAAACAGTTAACAATGTGGATAAAAAAAATAAATAAAAGAATCAACCAATTAGAATGTATATCAATAACATATAGTGCAATCAGACTTTCTTTGCCGCTTGTCTCCCAGCTGAGTCTATTCTAATTATATTGCCTTCAGGTTTTTTTTTAATAAAAATTCTTTTTAACTTGTGATAGTTTCCTTTTAATTATTATTTTGTTACATATTTCCGTGATTTCTATTTCTTGCCTTACTTGTCTAAATGGATTGGCTTTCAATAGGCCATTTCAGCCTTTTCAATTTTCCCGCCTTTTTTTTTTTTATCACCTCCGACAACAGAGCTTTTATTCTGAGGTGAGTTTCCTCTAATAAATCTTCATCCTTCTGACCTCAGTTGTACAAGCTGTTTCAGACAACCTTTTTAAGGTAAGTCCCCTCTACCTTTTCTCACATATTTCTCTAAGTTTTTACCTAATGCTTTTTTTTTCTGTCAGGTTATTGAATATTGTATTTTTCCATAGAATTACCTGGGCTCAATTTAAAAATCACTTGTCTGCATCAGTTTATTATGGGGGACCCCCACTTTATGGTTATTGCCTCTGCATTATGGAGGACTCCCACTTTACTGATATTGCCTCTGCATTATGGGGGACCCCCACTTTACTGATATTGCCTCTGCATTATGGGGGACCCCCACTTTACTGATATTGCCTCTGCATTATGGGGGACTCCCACTTTACTGATATTGCCTCTGCATTATGGGGGACCCCCACTTTACTGATATTGCCTCTGCATTATGGGGGACCCCCACTTTACTGATATTGCCTCTGCATTATGGGGGACCCCCACTTTACTGATATTGCCTCTGCATTATGGGGGACCCCCACTTTACTGATATTGCCTCTGCATTATGGGGGACCCCCACTTTACTGATATTGCCTCTGCATTATGGGGGACTCCCACTTTACTGATATTGCCTCTGCATTATGGGGGACTCCCACTTTACTGATATTGCCTCTGCATTATGGGGGACTCCCACTTTACTGATATTGCCTCTGCATTATGGGGGACTATGGGGACCCCACTTTACTGATATTGCCTCTGCATATGGGGCTACTTTACTGATATTGCTCTCTGTATTATGGGGACCCTACTTTACTGATATATTGCTCTGCATAGGGGGACCACTTTACTGATATTGCCATATTGGTGGGGACTTTACTTACTGATATTGCTCTGCATTATGGGGGACTCCTACTCTTTACTGATATTGCTCTCTGCATTATGGGGGAGTGGCTCATGGGGACTCCACCTTTTACTGATATTGCTCTGCATTAGTGGGGGACTCACTTTACTGATATTGCTCTCTCTGCATTATGGGGATTCTAATTTTACTGATATTGCCTTCTGCATTATGGGGACCCTACTTTACTGATATTGCTCTTGCATTATGGGGACCACCCTCACTTTACTGATATTGCCTCTGCATGCTATTTATTATATAAAAATCCCTCCCCACACACACACACACACACCCTTTTGTCTGCATTATTTAACTTTTTGTTACTGACACCATTTAACATTTGCTTGCTTCCTATTTAGGATTTATTGGGGGTGACCCCCACCCATTATTCCGTGCTCACTCGCAGATTTTATTTGTGGGTAACCACTTATCAAACCTTTAATTTTAATATATTGATTTCTTGCTGGGTGACCCCCATTCTACTATATTTTGCAAGGCTGAACACCTTTGATTGCTTACAGTGTAGGCAACGCCCACTATACTGCTGATTCTGTGGGTTATTCCCACTATATTTGAGTGACCCTCAGACATTACTGGCCTTATTTTTTTCAACACATGGGTGAACCCCAAATAATTTAGCCACATATAGCCTTCTGCCTTAATGTAGAGAATCAACATTCCTATTATTTTATATTGTGTATAGCATTACATATTTCTCCATTCACCTTTTAGTTTGATAAGGGACACTGTAGGCACTCAGACCACTTCAGCTAATTTAAGTGATCTGGGTGCTGTGACCCTTTTGCACTTAGTGCTGCAAAACTGCAATGTTTACATTGCAGCTCTAATTGTTCCCCCTGTGGCTGTCTATCAGAGGGCTTCCAAAATCCAAACTGACTTTTTGTCTGTTGTCTGACGCTGGATGTCCTTGTGGCGTCAGATTTTCCCCTATGTGGAGGTCTAATGCATTGGGTATCGCCAGCCGCCTGCCGGCTGGGTGGGCAGAGCCGTCAGATAAGTGGCGGAAGGGGAACCTAATAACCCCATAGTGCCAGGAAAACTTCTTTGTTTTCCCTGCACTATAGGATCCCTTTAGGCAAATAACGGATCAGACAGACCCAGCAATCTCTTCTGAGTTGTGGGCTTGTCTCAATTCTGCAATCACAGAGGCTATAAAAAAAAAAAAAAAGTTCTGACAACTTTCCGTGAACAATCTTCCACTGACATTAATCGTCCCGCTCACCTAGACTCTGACTCCAAGGACTCACATCTCTCGGATCTAGAGTGACCCCTGTGCAAACATCCCTTGAAAGGGGATAGAGCCTCAGCAGGCAAAGGTAAGGCTCCTTCAAAAACTTTTAAATTATTCCGGCCACCTTCTTTGCAGGATGATTCAGACCCTTTAGAGGGTTCTTCTTCCTAAAATCTTCAAGTGATAGACAAATACTGCACTAATTATTCTAAAGAGATAATTAGCGAATGTGCATCCAGATTCCTCAACCTCAGAATTTGTTAGTCCTATATTATCAATCAGACAAACTCTAATGACCGGGACTCCAGCAAACAAATAAAAAATGAGATCAACTTACTGACATCCTCCTGGGATCTGCTGGCCAACGACTTTGACACTAGCATTATTCGGCACCCTTGTTCTGCTGACTAGCACCTCCAGAACATACTACAAACTTTTGTAAAATGTGGCTTCACAAACCTTTGGAAAAGGAAATCCGAGCCAAGTTAAGGGCTGAATGCCCCAGGCATACTATCCCAGATAAGGTGGCGTTAATGCCAGAATTTGACCCTATGCTTGTCACTTTCCTTACTAAATCAGGCAAGGAACCGCATAAGGGCATCTAACGGGGTCTAAAGGTGACCGAAGATAATATTTTGGATATCGCCTGACACATACATATACAAATTCTTATTTTGGCTGATGAAGCACTAACTGTTGACAAATTTGATCCTCACAATGTGTGAGAGTGGGCAATGGCAACATGGCCATATCCACAGAAAGGCATAAAGCAGCCCTTTACAAATAGATGCTAAATTGGCTGGTTTAAAGGACCACTCTAGGCACCCAGACCACTTCAGCTTAATGAAGTGGTCTGGGTGCCAGGTCCTTCTAGGGTTAACCCATTTTTTTTTATAAACATAGCAATTTCAGAGAAACTGCTATGTTTATGAATGGGTTAAGCCTTCCCCCTAATCCTCTAGTGGCTGTCTCATTGACAGCCACTAGAGGCGCTTGCGTGCTTCTCACTGTGATGTTCACAGTGAGAGCACGCAAGCGTCCATAGGAAAGCATTGTAAATGCTTTCCTATGCGACGGGCTGAATGCGCGCGCAGCTCTTGTCGCGTGTGCGCATTCAGCCCAGGAGGAGGATTGGAGGAGGAGAGCTCTCCGCCCAGCGCTGGAAAGAGGTAAGTTTTTACCCCTTTGCCCCTTCCAGAGCCGGGCGGGAGGGGGTCCCTGAGGGTGGGGGCACCCTCAGGGCACTATAGTGCCAGGAAAACAAGTATGTTTTCCTGGCACTATAGTGGTCCTTTAAGTTCTAAAGCACTAGGGCCAGAAGTCAGTGGCTTATTGTTTGGAGACTGCTTCATGAGAGAACTTAATAAACCTGTCATGTAATAAACATTATACTTGCAAAGACAGAATATTCAATGATCTAATTTTTCAATGTAGGGTAATAGCTTCTTCATCCAAGGATAAATCTGACTGCCAATCTGGGGTCAACAGGGAATATTTTTTCTAGTTTGTTGCAAAATTGGAAGTGCTTCAAACTATTTTTTTTTTTTTTTTTGCTTCTTTTGAATCAACCGCAAAAAACAGAAGTGAGGCTGAGCTTGATTGACACATGTCTCTTTTAAGCCTATGTAACTATGTCTCTGTTTTCACAACATTTAATAACTCCATTTCTCCTTACACAGTCTTTTGCTCCAAAAACACATTTTTACGTGTGCTGGTCGCTACAGAGGCTGAGCCACCAGAAGGGTTGCTTTCACAGGCTATAGGCCTTGACCCTCTGAATATTGGAAATCAGGCACTACCCGCCCTTACCACTATCGGCTATTCACGAATAGAGGATCTATCAGAAGACTTAAGTATGCTTCACTCTGCAGTCACACTGCCGAAGGTAATGTCCTTACTTCAATGAACCTATTGTAGGCCAATTAACTCATTTATTCCAACAGTGGGACATGCTCTCTCAAGACCAATGATTCCTGCACACTGTTAAGTGATTCTGAATAGATTGTCATATTTTATCAAAAGGCCTCCCCGATGGCACTTTAAATGCAAATTACTGGAGAGGACAGCGTTCGAATGATCGCTCTTGCCACATACATTTCTCAGCAACTTGTTTCTGGTCTGCATAAGAGACAGAAGATCTCCGTCCAGTAATCAATCTCAGAGACCTAAACTAACATGTCTTGCACCGTAATTTCAAGACGGAAGGCATCCATCTTCTACGAGACCTACTATGCATGGTAGACTGGTTCTCACACTTCAAGCTCAAAGACGTGTATCTCACGGTTCCGGTCGCACAAAGCCATTGCACATTTCTTCAATTCCAATGGCAAAGAGACATTTGGCAATTCACCTGCCTTCCCTTCGGCCTTTGTTCTGTATCATGGTGCTTCACCAAGTTAATTAAGTTATTGCATTACTGTGCTCTCAAAAGATTTGCTCTATTATATATTTGGATGACATTCTGATCATGGCTCAAGATCCACACAGTTCGTCATCACACGGATATGAGCTCAGCACTATTACAAAATGTCGGTTTTGTTATCGATTTCCAGAGATCGATTTTGGTCTTTACAGACCATTCAGTTTCTGGGATTTCAAATAGGGTTTGTGCAAGCAATTCTACAATTGCCCTCCATAAAAATCAAAACCATCAAAAAAGACATTCGAACATTGTCTGCTCAACTGATACACCTACGAGACTTGGCACACATAATAGCCTTCCTTTCCGCATCCATCCAAGCTATATTTCCGGATCTTTGCATTATTGAGCAATGTAGCATTTGAAAACATTTTATCTGCATCGATCCACATCTTATGACCGAATAATATATCTGACACACGTCCATCTAGAACTCCACTGGTGGCTTCACATTATGGATGCATAGAATAAGACGGCCGTCTTTGGCTCACAACTGGACTTTGTTAAGGAATTGGATGCCAGCCTCCTCGGATGGGGCGTGACTTTCTCCAATCTTTTTATTGTAGGTCTTTGGTCCCCAGTGGAACAAGCCCTTTAGATAAATTGCCTGGAACTGATTGCGGGCTCGTTTGTGATCCGCCGTTTTGCGAAGGACACTTTCAATTGTTCCCTATTGCTGTGGATAGACAACATCTGTGCAGTCCGCTCCATGAATCACAATCCAAACTGTTCTCCGACCTTATGAAAGACCTTAATCAGTTCTGTCTGGACAGAAATCTTTCTATTCAAGCAGAATACCTACCAGGCCCAGACAATCTGGTTACAGATTGGTTTTCCTGTCACTCTCTCACTCACCAGGATGCCAATGATTGGCAGCTAGATCCACAACTGTTTTACCACATTCATCTCCTCTAAGGGCTCCTAACACTGAATCTATTTGCAACTCGGCTGAATCGTCAAACAGATGCCTCTCTCGCTGGCAACCGATTCATTCCTTCAACAGTGGCCATCAACAATAAAATGTTTTCCCTCACTTCTCCATGATCCAGTAAACTCTTCACCAAATCAGTGGCTTACCCACGACGATTCTCCTCTTTATGTCCGTATCTGTACTGCGACTTGGAGCATCATCCTGCACAGCTCCCGTGCACAGACTCACAGGCCAGGTGAGTTCTTCCCTGACCACCTTGGCCTGTGTTTAATTGCAAGGGTGAGCATATCTCTGCATACCGGGCTCCCACTAAGGTAAGCCGTGACACATCCTCTCCCCCTACAAGGCCACCTTCCCCTCGTGGGCTGGACCATTTCAGGGGATCTTGGCATGTCGCAGGACTTTCGAGCACAGCTTGAACACTTTTATTTTATTGGACTCATGGGCCCTAAGAACTTGACTCGCACATGCCTCTGCATGGCAGACTTGGGTCAGCTGGTGTGTGGGAAAGGATATTGATCTCTTATCAGCATATCCTGCACAAGTGTTGAGCTTCTCATCTTCGTTGTTCAACCAAGGAAAATCATATTGTTACATTAAGGTCTTTTGATCTACCTTCTCGGTGGATCATACCCCGATGAATCATTCTCTGGTGGGCAAACACCCTTCTGTTTGCAGATTTTTATGTGGCATACGTTGGCCAGATCTCCTATTCCCAGATACTCCAATTTCTGGGATGTCACTCAGGTTTTCTCATTTTTGGATTCTTGGTATTCTAAAAATACCTGTGTCTATTCACCAGCTCTCTGCTAAACTGGCTCCTCTCTCATTTGTCTAGTGCCTTTCTGCAGAGTCTCAGATATTTTGTTCCTTCCATTTCCACACAGTTTTATGCACCGGATGGAGTACACTTTACCATAACGAGATGCACTTAATTCTCAGTTTTTTATCCATATTTCCTGGGCAGACCTGCTCTCTGTTGTGTTTATCAATACATCGATCTTACTAACCCTCTTCGGGCCTTTTCAGGTCCCATTCTTGTCTCTTATGTCTGACCTTTTCCCATCTGCAGATATGTCCAGAGAATTTACTTTTCAAACGACCTATTTCAAACCTACTTCAATTGCCTCTGTATCTGTTATATCTGAGCTTTAACACAGCAAATATGAATCCTCCTGTCTTGCCATAATATTAGGGATTATTCTAGCTCAGTGACCGAATAATCTAAATTTTTATTAAAGACAGAAGGCGAATATTTTCCAATCCCTATTTTTTTGTTTTTTATTCCCTACAATGTTTTTCTAATACTGGTTCCTTTATTATGATTTTATGTTCTGCATTTTTACTAATACATCTTCCTAATGCTAATAGCTAGTCTAGTTTTTTGAACTCCTGTTGATTTGAAACAAGCTTAAACCGCTTCCACTAGAGCTAGCTCAGTCTGAGTTAGTGTCTTAAATTCCATATCAAATTATATTAAGTTGAGTTTCTCTTGTCCAAGAGACTTTCACAATGTTTCTCTTTGTTTTTAGTGTGAAGACTTTTCTATTCTCACATGGGGATTCTCTACACATTTCTTGACTGCTGGTTTACATGGTTGACTACACGACTTCAATTACCTTTGTTTCTTCTGTTCTACTTTCCTTCTGGGTGTTTTTGTTTTACATGGTTGACTACTGGTAATCGGCTAACTCAAAGAAAGAAGTGGTAGGAGTCTGATTGCACTTTGTGTTTTTGATATACTTTATGGTTGATTTTTTTATTTATTTTTTTACCCACATTGTTAACTAATTGGAGGAATGTTTGTGGATCAGAGAATTCCATGTTCCCTTACTGATCCTGTCTGACGTCAGCTCCTCATCCCCAGGAACAGGCATTTGTTGTTACTATCTACCATTTTGGTTCATCCAAAGGCACACCTTACTGGAGGTTCTTAACCTCCACCAAACATGACCCGAAAACATGGTCTCCTTCCACCTGTTGAATTTGGAAAGAAATAAACAATTGTGATATCTGAGATATTTCTGACCTTGGGCACATCTTGTTGGACCAACTGAGAAGGTCATGGGCTCATTGCTTGTATAAGATGTTTGGGTTTTTCTCCTGTTTGACTAACTTACTCAGAACCAATGGGTGGCAAAAAATAACGTGTAATCAAATGGCAGATAAAACATTATGCTTGAAAACCTCTGATTTAAAATTGAACCCATGACTCGTGCAGCACCCTTTGTCATAACAATATGAAGGACTTTAATGGTTTCATGTGCAGACAACACATAGTTTTACCATCACACATACAACCCTTATTGATCACATCTGTTACCACTTCAGTGGAATAGGCTTTCAAATGGGACACTGAGTGCTTTGACTAAATGCCAAATCTAAGTGAACTGAAAGCCGCATTGCAAAATGTAATCCAAAATAGCTAATTTGGAAATATTGATATATCTGATAATAAAATTATCGGCTAATAATTTGTAATCTCTGTGCTCTGAATGTTTTATATTACTTGTCTTGTTTCTACGTGAACCGAACGTATATGCATTGTTTTATATTCCAGCTAATCCCAGGGCTCCTAGTGCATTCAGTGGTAAACAGGTGTGAAGGCTATCCCTTGTTTTCACAGTGGTCATGTTAGCCCTTGTTCTCATATCGTGCACGTTAATCCTTGTTCTCATAGCGTGCATGCCGCCCCTCGTTCTCATAGCGCATATGTTAGCATTCCTACCAATAGCGGGCATGCTTCCCTTTGTTCTGTGTTAGCCTTTGTTCACATTATGTTTACTAACACGTTGCCATTGGTAATTATTTTTGAGAATAGGTGTTCATTTATTAATTTTTTGAAAATAGAAACATCATCATTTATAGATACATTTCCTCTACTTTTTGGTCTTATAGCATTTAGTTAACAAGTAGAATCTTAATAACAATCCATGAAAGTAATTGCACATCCCAGATATTAATTTCTTTAAAACAAACAAACAAAAAAAAAAACCTATGAGGCAAGTCAAAAACTCATAAGGCTTTGCTGACCTCCCACCCCACCTTGGCCTTAGACGTGATTTATTGATATTTCGTCCACCCACACTGTACAGACAGACTGTGTAATGAGTACACACAGACACTCACACACACACATACACATACACACACACACACACTGACTGCAGGCTGAGCCTCTCACCCACGTGGTGCTAGTGAAAAGAAGTCACGTGCTCTCCCAGCGCAGGCCGGGGGATTTCCTGCCTCCGCCTTTTCCCTCCTTGTGTCGTCGCATGGGCAATTCAGCCAATGGGAGAGCAGCTCTGGGAACCGGGGAATTCCAGAGAAGTAGAATCAGAACTCAGCCAGCTACAGGTGACCCTGTGTTTACTGAGTGTGGGGGCCCTGCTTCACACACTGTATAGCATTCTACATACTGAATACTTTGTATCCTCCCTCTGTACTGACAGCATTCTACATACTGTATACTCTGTATCCTCCCTCTGTACTGACAGCATTCTACATACTGTATACTCTGTATCCTCCCTCTGTACTGACAGCATTCTACATACTGTATACTCTGTATTCTCCCTCTGTACTGACAGCATTCTACATACTGTATACTTTGTATCCTCCCTCTGTACTGACAGCATTCTACATACTGTATACTCTGTATTCTCCCTCTGTAGTGACAGCACTCTATATACACAATGCTGTACTGACTGTCCTCTATACACACTGTGCACTGCAGGCATCTCCCTTGCACACTCACATAACTCAGACCGCTATAGACCTGCATACTGGAGTTATATACAGACTACAAGCACCATGAGGGAAGTGGGCAGGACAGGTAGGTACATGTGTTCAATTATTTTTTATTTATAATTATTGGCAGAGTGTATGCATTTCGGATTCAACAATGTCGTGTTTGCATGACTATCTTATAGAAGTTTTTCATTTATTTTTTTAAGTGTGTGTGCATGGTGTGATGCAATGTGTGTGATTAGTCACATGTAACAAACATTTGTTTTTACCAGCTGCACGTGTGTAGTGTTGTTTTAAAAGGTAGATGTATACAGTAGTGTATTTGATATGTACCATTCGCTATGTAAAGGCAACTGGTGTTCTGCATTTCGTGAAATACAGAACAGATGTGCGGTGACAAGCAATATGCAAATATTACATATGGATACCGTTTTGCAATCCTGTGTGTGTATAATTTAAACCTAAACAGGAATACAGTGTGTGTGTGTGTGTGCACACATTTCTATGTATTTATAAACTGTATATGTGTATCACATGTAAAAACATAGTATTCAATGATATAGCAGTTAAAATGTGGGGTAACATCTTGTTGATCCTGTGACACATTTTATTCTCACTTTGGAGTTCAGTAGGATTTTTCTTCCCCCAGTATGTTTTGGAAATAGCTGTACATTGAGTATTTAAACTTAGTTGGATAAACCGCAGACACAGATGTATGAAAGGCATAACTTTATAGCCTTGATTCTTTTCTTTTTTTTTCCCAAGTCAATATTAAAGATTAATGTGCAACTACAATGTAACTGTGTACATATCTGTGTACAAATCGAAAGTCATGTTGTTGTGTGTTTTTTTGTTTGTTTTTACACAGTACAGAATTGGGACAGGTACCAAGAGATTGTGGTTTGGGGGTTGTTTAATTTAAGCTGTGATAGCGTCTGCTATTTTGGTGCAGGAAAGCTATAGCTATTATGTTCTGCTTTTTGGTGTCTGCATCCAGTAATGACCCCCTCCCAATGATGTTAAGACCAGATAGAAGCAGGAACTTAATCTACTATCACATACTTCTCAATATAATGTTTTTGTGAAGTTCTGAGATACAATCATACACACTGCTCCTTAATGTAAGTTTGAATTATGTGGATCCCAGTACAGTAATACTCATAGAACAATGCTGAGTGTCTTATTGCAGTGGAGCTCCGTAAGTTATTCATATATACTGTATGTTACTGTGAGTTCTATTTTTATGCAACTGTGTACTCACAGCATAGAAGTGTGATTTGAATTGTAGGGGAGCTCTGTGAAACCTTCATACACACAGATCATTACTGTGTGTTTTATTGCTGTGGAGCTCTGGAATTTACTACACACATCTCAGCTCCAAGAAAAGTGGCACATTCAAGGGTTCATAATGGCATTGCCTTTGTTGAGATTAACTTTTCATAACAATTAAAATAAATAAAGAACATGTTTTATTTAAATTACAGTGCTATCAAATATATATACTAGAAAAATTGGCTACTACTTTGTCTCTCACAAACCTAATTTTGGCAAAATGTGTCAGTGGTGGGATATTTCCCATTATGTGTCCGATAAAAGAGCCTTTTGGTATCTCATTAAACATGCTCCAGTTCATTTACAGAGGAGCTGTGTTTTAAAGTTATTATTTTTTAAATTTGTTTTTTTATGTTTGTGCGCAAAACCATAAATCCATCAAAAGCTTGAACACTAATATTGAAGCAGAGAGGTCAGGGATTTTTGCAACCCATGACTATTCCATTTTAAGGTCCTAAACAGAAATACATTTGGAACAAGGGAGGGCTCTATAAAAAATGAAAGCACTATATAATGTGTGCTTTCACTTTAAAATACCATCCCCTTAAAATGGCACTGTCACTACGGAGATTGTGCACCACCAAATGATGAGGAAAAGTTGACTATGGCTGGTACACTTTTTTTTTTTTTTTTTTTTTAATTTATTTATTTATTCATTTTTTATTTTTCAAGTGCAGAGTTGTACAGTTATGAATGCTGTTTTTGTCTGTGAGGTTCGAAATAATAGTCATTTACATATATGCATTATATGATGTAGTTAACATAGCATTTATATTTTGTTAAGAAACTGGTCGAACATCTGTCACTAAAAGGTAAATATGCCCCTCTTTTTTTTTTTTTTTTTTTGTTGTGCAGGTGAGTACAAAGTATAGTCATGCGCCACAACAGCGTTCAATAATATGGCAACATAGGTTAAACAGTGGCTTTGAAAACTTGCACTTTTAGTTTAAAGGTAAAGCAAGTATAGTAGCTATGTCTATGCGATAATCTTTTTTAGAGTAAATATGCTTGTAGCATCCTGTCGTCTTTGGTACACAGAGTTAAACATATGAGAAAAAACAGACAGACAGTGATCTAGCTTGCTGACTATTGTGTTAGAAAAGGACTGGCAATTCACAGTTTGCCCTAATGCTCCAGAGGCTATCTAATTTTTATATTGTAAGCTAACATGCATGCAACTGATATGACACTGACGCAACATTAGTTAAAGCTAAAGAGTTGTGCAGTATATGTTGAGTTGGGGAGACTTAGCTAATCTAAAGTGAGATCAATATAACAACATTTTTAACTTAGCAGAATTTTTCTTGCTTTTGTGTTGCTGGGTTGTTTGCAGCCTCAGTTGGGGTCCGTGTCCAGAGACTTATCTCAGCCGGCAGCCAGCCCCCGAAGTTTAGGCAGTCAGCCGATTCCCTGGCTGGGCTTCCACCTTCCTTGTGTACAATGTCCACCTGGCATGTTTTTATCTTCCAATGTGGCGTTGTGTAAATTGTCCTGCCGGAGTGGGAGTTGGCCAAGCTTTGTTGTGGTGCGGTGAGTGAGCAGGTGTGGTTGGAGTCGGTTGGTCGTGCCACTGGGCCTGGATAGAGTCACCCATGAGGAGGTGGGTGCTTGCTTGAGATCGAGGCTTGTTTTCCGCAGTTTCCACCAGCTCTCCGCCCTGCGCAAGCGAGGTGTATGCTTACTTCGCCATTGCGTGGTTTTAGGTCCCATCGGTGCTGCAGGCTGATTCTGAGGTGGCGGTTGTCGAAGTGGGCAGCGTACGGTGAGTAGTTGCAGAGCACCTTGTTGCAGCATGAGTTCAAGCTTGATCCAGAAGAAAATCCTGTCAATGCTGGACAGGGGGTTTAGTGATACCTCTTGGCTGTCTGCTGGCCGCATGGTCTCTGCCATTTTAGGTTGGCCTCTCAGCTCTCTGGCCATCTTCACAGTTCTTTCCGTCGTGTTAGAGGGGACCATCATGGGTGGACCGGGATCACCCCCACCGGTCCAAGGGGGGGGGGTAGCAGGGTAGCAGCAACTCGTGGCAGTTGGTCTCCGGATGGTTCCAGGCTGGGAGATCGGCCGCCTCTCCCGCCTTGTGTTTGCCAGGCCACTTGCCCTCGCGGGTGCATTCTGCCATCTGTCGTCCACTCACGGGCCGCATCACCGGTTTACCGTGAGGGTAGAGGACTAGTAAGTCGCTTGGGGTCCTGTGGTGTGGTTTGTAGTGGTATAGGGGTGCCTTTTTAGCCATTTTTCCCAAGATTAGTGTGAAGCTCCAGCTAGGCACGTCTTCCCTCCATGACAGTCAGGCCCCGCCCCCTATGTGGGCCTGTGAGTCTTTGCACCGTGTTATGGCTTGAATGTTTAGGGTCAGTTGTTAGTGCAGGTACTGGCAAGTGCCTTATTGTCGTTTGTTATCATGGTATGCTCAGTGTGGTACGGCTCTGGTGTGTCACTTCTTTTGTGGCTGGTTGTGGGTTCAGCTGAGTGTTGCATATTGGTACAAGTGACGGTGGTCATACGAGTATATTGTGTGCAAGAGATTAAGTCTTGTCTCAATGGGGGTCCAGGTTAGGACCGTCTTTGTGGAGATATGCCGTGCGAAGAGATGCATTTACCTCGTCAGTATGGTGTGGGGGCGCTGTCATGTGGCTGCTAGGTAGGTCAATAGGTTCTGTATTGGAAGCTGCCGTGTTGTGGGCAACAAGAGCCCAGTGGGGGTCGAGTAGACAGTGTGTAATGTGTCATGGTGGGTGGTAGTCCCCTAACCATGGGAGATACGGGTGGGGAGGTGCTGTCGCCTTTTCCTGTCATGATTGTCATGATGATTGTGTGGCGCTCAATATAACAACATTACTGGCGTCTCCTGTTTAGTGCGTGTTAGGTGTACCGGTTGGGGTCCTAGTGGTAGGTGGCAACTAGGGGGTTGTCAGTGAGTGGTCGTTGCATGGTTGTCGCCTGTGTGGCGGGTATTTGTAAAAGAAAGGTAACATAGAAAACAAACTTAAGCAGGGCTTCTGATTAGTGGGGAAACAAATGTAAGTTTCGGTTGTGAGAGCGTAGTATCTAAACTTGATAGTTTATTAGGGTATGCTGCGGATTAGTGCAGTCCTTTCAGGTCGAAGCTTTTGGTTCTGTGCCCCCTCTAGGCGTGAAGGTCACGACTCTCTCTCTGGGTCCCAGGTGTGTGAGGTGGAGGGAGTTGTCGCTATCGCTGTTGCCGTAGGGAGCCCCAGGGCTCGGAGAAAAGAGTTTGCGTCTGCTAGGGTGGATAGTTTCTTAGTTTTGCCCTCCTTGGTTACTGTTAGAACACATGGTAATGTCCATCTATATTGTATGCCTGCGTTACGCAGCTGGCTGGTTACCGGTTCCATTGAGCGGCGCCACAGCAATGTGTTGCGAGATATCCTGGAAGAAGGTAACTTGATTGGATTCAAAATTGAACGGAGTTTTACCCTGGACTGTCGTCATTATGAGGGCCTTGTTAGTGGACGAGTGGCATCTGAGCATGACATCGTGTGATGCTGTCAGTGGGGCTTGTCTCGGTTTCGGGATACGAAAGAATCCCTCCTAGGTGAGTTTCTTGGCCTGGGTGTGTTGCAAGAGTGAGGTGGTGAGTCGCCTGAGATAGTGGGGCAACTCAGTAATGCCGATGGAGTCGGATATGCCCCGGATCTTTATGTTCACCCTTCTGTGGCGGTCGTCTGCCATGTCAGCCCTGTTCATTAAGTTAGTTTGGGAGGACTGCAGTTGGAGTATGGATTCCTTGAGGCCTTGTACCTCTTGTCTTAAGTCCAGTATGTCCTCCTCAGAGGCTTGAGTGTGGGCTGTTACAGCTGTGATTTCTGCCTTTAGCAGCTCTAGGTCCGCTGCATGTAGCTGCCTCATTACCTGTAGGAGCTCTGCTATATCTTGTCTAGTCGCTGGGGTCTGGTTGTTTCCCTTTGCCGGTTCTTCTTGGGGTGGTCGGGTGTACGGAGGTTCGGGATGATCCCCGGTGGATCCCTCAGAGCCGTCTGAGCCCTCAGTGTGTTCCGGCTCAGCTGCCATTTTCGCAGCACCAGGGCGCTGCAGCATGGTGCTTATGTCCTGTGTGTCTGTGCACGCACCTGTTTGTGTTTTTTGGGACCTTCTGCCCATGGTGTTCGGGCCTTGTTGGAGCAGCGTGTACTGGGCCCAAGGTGAGTATTCAGGTGCCTCCGTCTCTGGAATTTTCAGCGCGGTCCTTATGGCGCGGAGCTCGGAGTAGGCATCTGGTTTTCTTGCTGGTCTGTGGGAATATGAAGGACATCTGTGGCTGCTCGCCCCTGCAGGCGTCAAGGTAGGTGGTTTTCACCCTTCGATGGAGCTGTTTGGGGGTCCGATATTTGTCAGTTTCAACTCCTGGTTCAGGAGCTGCGAGAAATTGTGGCCATTCTGTTCGGACGCTTGCCTCCGCCCCCCGGTACTCTTTATTTTAATAAAAATCTCAGTAGTTTTCATGTGTCCATCAAGTTCAGCCTTTCTCACTTCTGGTTTTTGCTGTTGATCCAAAAGAAGGCAAAAAACCTTGTTTGAACCATGTCCAATTTTGCAAACTAGGAAAATAATTCCCTCTTGACCCCACAATGGCAGTCAGATTTATCCTTGGATCAAGAAGCTATTACAGTGGAAAAATTATATCATTGAATATTATGTTTTTGCAAGTATGCATCTAGTTGCTGTTTAAACATCTGTATGGATTCTGATAAAACCCACTTCTTCAGGCAGAGAATTCCACATCCTTATTGTTCTTACGGTAGAAAAAAACAACTTTCCTTTGCCTTAGACTAAATCATCTAAATGCATTACCTTGTGTCCTATGTATAGTTCTGTTTGTTTTTTTTTATTGCCCCCGGATATATTTCTATAATGTTATCATATCCCCTGTCAGGTGACTTTTTTCTAAATTTGTTAACCTTTATAGCTAAAATGTTCCATTCCTTTTAATTTTGTAACCCACCTCAGCGCTTTTTCTAGTGTCACAATATCCTTCTTGAGAACAGGTGCTCAAAATTCGCTTCCATTTAGGGTATAAGTTGCTTGTGTATTCTTTACACCAAAGTGCATAACTTTGCATTTTTCTACATTAAATTTCATATGCCATTTGAGTGCACAGTCCCTCAATTTATCTAAATCCTTCTGCAGCAATGCAATATCCTGCTCACATTTTATTACTTTACAGAGTTTTGTGTCATCTGAAAACACTGAAACATGACTTTCAATGCTTTTTTTAAGATCATTTATAAACATGTTAAATAGAAGTAGTCTCCAAACAGAACCCTGAGGGACACCACTTACCACTGCTGTTCAGCTTGATGACATTAATGACAACTCTTTGTACTCTATTTTTAAGCCAGTGTTCTACCCAAGAACAAGCATTTTCATCTAGACCGATTTGAGTTTGAACACTAATCTATTGTGTGGAACTGTATCAAATGCCTTGGCAAAATCCAAATAGATCACATCCACTGCAACACCCTGATCTATACTTATACTTCTTCATAGAATGCAATAAAGTTTGACATGACCTGTGCTTCATAAAACCATGCTGATTATTGCTAATAACAAAGTTCTTCCCAGTGAATTCCTGAATATTATCCCTTATTAATCCTTCAAATACTTTCCCAGCCACAGACGTTAAGCTTACAGGTCTGTAATTTCTGAGAAATGTACCTTTCTAATATTTGTTTGAAGATATTCCATTTATCCTCAGTGTTCTTTTCACTAAAGAGTTTATGCCAGTCATCATATTGTAAAGCTGCCCTTATATTACGGAAATTGGCCTTTTAAAAATGATGTGCTTTATTTATTTATTTATTAGTTTATTTCAAAGTACACTATATTGCGATCACTATTTCCCAAGTGCTTGTCTACTTGAATGTTGGTCTAAAGCGCTACCAATGTCAGCTTTAAAGGGTACCTGTCTTACCACTTTGTGTTTTGCAAGAAATATTCCTCTGCAGTCTCAGTCTATACATTGTACTAGCGAAATTCCTGGCTAATATATACTTTAATGCGATAAAACGCTGGTAAAAACTGTGCTTTAAAAAAAAAAAAAAAAAAATTTTATATATATATATATATATAATATTTATATATATATTTTTTTTTTTTAAATTTTTTTATTCTTTATTTTAGTTTGCCGTCAGACATAAATCAAGACATACATCACATTACGTTGACCGATTGCTCACATCGTGCATCTTACAAACAAGGTTTACAATGTAAGATATCATACAGGACTTTTGTGAAGGATTCTCAGTTTTTCTGTATGGACAGTATGCAATCTGACTTCAAGGTTTTTGTATTTACATAAAAAGAATTTAACATTAATATATTAATGAACAAATGCAACCCAAACATGCAATACCATATTGCTTTTGGCGAGTGTTTGAAGGTGGTGTAATCTACTTAGTTGAAGACTCTGTGTCTCGCCTGAGGTAGTCATGAACAGTGTTGCAGGTATTGGCATAGAAGTAGGCAGATAGATTGGGTGGATCTCGGGTTCTATGCTTATGTGTTCTTATGTGTTCTTTTTTTAAATGTTTTTATTGTGGTTCTTTTATATGTATTTTTGTCTACTATATTTTGTGGGGAAGCCTTTTTTACATACCATCTCAGTGTGATCAAGGGGGCTGTGCCAGGTTTTAGAAAGCCAACAAAATCTTTTCAATTAAAGGCAGTTCAAAGAGGAAGCTAATGGCGGCGCTGGGTCTGTTAGGAACGAGGTAAGTATGCTGAAAATGGGGTGAAGCTCCATAGAGGGTGGGTAAAAAATACTGAATTAATATAGTACATATGAAAAGTACCTCTATGGCATTACACACCCTGTTAAGCTTCGCCAAAGTTTTTTGGGGAAAGGAGATGAGAAAATGGCCCTTCCAGTGAACTTGACAGTTATGTTTTAAATGCCCGCTTTATGTTGTTGCATGCCTATATAAAGTCAGTATTGTCTACATTCCACAGAGATACAAAGGGATATTCACTAAAGTGAGAATTCAAAATTTATTTAAATGAACACTATAGGGTCAGGAACACAAACCTATATTCCTGACCCTATAGTGTTAAAACTATAGGGTCAGCCCCCCTTCCCCTCCTAAATATAGCAAAATATTACCTTTATTGCAGTCTGCTGCTGTTGTCTCTGCCCCTTATCTGCCTGCTTGGCTGACATCATCAGAAGTTGTGTTTTGAGCCAACTACAATGCTTTTCCATAGGAAAGCATTGGATTGGCTAATACTGTCAAGGAGGCAGATCAGGGTCAGAGCCAACACAAGCCAAACACAGCCCTGGCCAATCAGCGTTTCCTCGTAGAGATACATTGAATCAATGCATCTCTATGAGGACGTTTCAGTGTCTCCATGCAGAGGATGGAGACCCTGAATGTCAGTCACATTGTGCAGCACTGCCCAAGAAAGCACCTCTAGTAGCCATATGTGGAGTGGCCACTGGAGATATCACTAGGCTGTAATGTAAACATTGCATTTTCTCTGAGAAGATAGTGTTTACTGCAAAAAGCTTGAAGGGAATGATTTTACACACCAGAACAAATACAATAAGCTATAGTTATTCTGGTGACTATAGTGTCCCTTTCACAGTGAAATTCACTTAGAATTCTCACGTTACTGAATCTTATGACATATTTTCCCGATAAAGGCCTTGATTAAATATTTTTGATAAGCTTATTTTAATCATTGTATATATATTTGGATAAACGTTTAAAATGATTTTTTTCTAAATGTTAAAATATAAATAATATATCCCTAAATTAATAAATATTAAATCATTTAGCATATTCAAGAATATTAAATCAAGTCTGAAATAGAATTTTTTTTGTTTTTGTTTTTGTTTTCCCTTTCGCTATTTACACTTTTGTCTATGTGGCATCTGTGGTTTTATTTAGAATTGCCCTCATCTGAAGTCACCACACAGCAGTGTTTGGTAACCTTTTAGCATTGCACACATTTTGGACTATTTTTTCCATATTCCTCAGCCAGGATTTCGTGACTGAATCACCTGACCACATTCTTTATTAGTAAACATTCTACGAAAGCTGACTACATATTTTATTAGTAAATATTCTATGAAACCTGATCACATACTCTATTGGTAAACTTTCTACAAATGATGACCCCATACTTGATTAGTGAACATTCTCTGAAAGCTGACCTCATACTTTATTAGTAAACATGCTACGAAAGCTGGCCTCATACCATTAGTAAACTTTCTACAAAAGCTGACCTCATACTTTATTGGTGAACATTCTCTGAAAGCTGACCTCTTTATTAGTAAACATGCTACAAAAAGTAATCACTTACAATTAGTAAACATTCTATGAAAGCTGGTCACATACCTTAAAGCGGCACTGTCGTGCCGAACTTACCTTTCCCAAATCGATTCCTCTTCTCTCCCTTTCTCAGGATCTGTTCTTCATTTCTTCCTGTCTGCTCCAGCTTTTTTTAAAACCTAAGACAAAGTAGGGACTATTTGTCTTATGGAGGTTGCCTACGCCTGACCATCTCTGATCAGTGGAGGAGCAAAGTGTGCCCCCCCACCCAAAACAAAAATGAATAAACCCCTAACTAACCCCCTCACCCTAAAAATAGTGAGGGGGAAAAAAAGAACTAAGAACCTGTAAAAAAAAAAAATAATAAAACTTTTTTTTTTTTTAAACTTACCATTTGATGTCGTCTTTTTTCTAAAATCTTAATTTTCAGCCCCCAAAAAGGGCAAATAAAAACCATAATACCCGTCGAACATAATACCTGTTGCACCCCCCCTCCCCAAGGTGACTAGGGGCTTGGGGACCCCTAGTCACCCTGGGGAGGGGGGGAACATTTTCATTTAGGGCCTCCACCCGCCGCTCAGGGGTGGGGGCCGGTGGGGAGGACAACAGGCCCACCTTATTGTTATTTATGGCCCTCACCTGCCGCTCAGGGGTCCTCATTATTTATATGGCTCCCACCTGCCGCTCAGGGGTGGGGGCCTTGGGGGTAGGACAATAGCCCCTCCCCCCTCATTGTTTTTATGGCCCCCAAAACTGAATGAACAAACGAACACTGATATTTAGTGTTTGTTTGTTCGTCTGACATTTCTATTCATTCATTCGTCTTTCTGACGAATGAATGGATGGAATTCCCATTTGCATGCCCAAATGTTTAACTGGGCATGCACGGGAACTTAAAGGACCACTATAGGCACCCAGACCACTTCAGCTTAATGAAGTGGTCTGGGTGCCAGGTCTAGCTAGGGTTAACCCTTTTTTTTTATAAACATAGCAGTTTCACAGAAACTGCTATGTTTATAATAGAGTTAATCCAGCCTCCAGTGGCTGTCTCTTGACAGCCGCTAGAGGCGCTTGCGTGCTTCTCACTGTGATTTTCACAGTGAGAAGACGCCAGCATCCATAGGAAAACATTGTGAATGCTTTCCTATGGACTGGCTGAATGCGCATGCGGCTCTTGCCGCGCATGCGCATTCAGCCGAAGAGGAGGCGAGGAGGAGGTACGTTTAACCCCTTCCTCTCCCCAGAGCCCGGCGGGAGGGGTTCCCTGAGGGTGGGGGCACCCTCAGGGCACTGGTGCCAGGAAAACGAGTATGTTTTCCTGGCACTATGGTGGTCCTTTAATAGCGCTATCTAGTGTGGGCAGATGACATGTCCCACAGGGACTTCTTCTACCCACACAAAGATGTCGGCGCCCAGAACCTAGGTCTGGTCAGAAAATAAAGTTTAAAAACTAGGTAATTTGGAGGTGACTGGGGTGGTCAATTAGATGTAGTGGAGTCGGGAGGGGGGTTAAAAAATAACGGGATTCGGCCATGACCATGCCGCTTTAAGTGAGCATTCTAGGTGAGCTGATGTTGTACTTTTATAGAAAACAAATAAAGAGGGTGATTGAGTTGATCCAGGTTTCAGGTGACAATGGTTTGGCTACTTGATCCCAAACAAATCTTGAGAAATCTAGTTGGTAGAAAAATAGGTCAGAGCTTTGGTACTTTGGAAGTATGATGCAAAACCTATGTTGTAAGATGTCAAAGACGGTTTCCAGTGTATCCTGGTCTCGTCTGTACTGGTAATGAAACGGTCCTTTACTGAAACTATTCTCTTCATAGAAACAACACTTACTATGCAAACATGCAGGTTTGGTAATTATGCCGCTAGTTATGCTAACTGCTTCACTCATAAAAAATTGGTTAGAAGGGACATTGAATGCTGAGCAGTTAGATTAGAGTGATGACTATCTTTGGCACGGTAGGTGTTTAAAATGCTATTGTAACATGACTAGCTGAGCATAATGGGAAATGTAGTTCACAAACAGCTGCCGTGCTAACACTGCTATATCATCTAATCAGTTTGTAGATGGATTTTGTGTTTGGTTTATATTGAGCATTGGTGATCAATAGTGATTTCTCCTTATTGGGGAAAAGAGCATGTGCTTGGTCATCAAGCCAGATCCATTTAACTCAAGGCCCGGTAACTGTGTCTCAAAGCTGTTGTAAATAGTAGTCTAACAAGAGATGGTGTGGTTGAGCTGATTGTATTTTTCTGTTGTCTTTTATAGATTCTCATGATATTCCAGGAGAAGATGGCACAACACTGGGTAAGTACATCAAGTGTGTATATATTATGTATGTGTGACAACATGCCTGTCAGGACCCTCAAACACTCATCATATTGATAATGTGGAAATGTAAATGTGGTTGGCTGTGGGTAACTAAGCTAACTAAACCAGGATGTAACAGGAAGCTGCTATCTGATTGGCAGCCAGGTGGATGTAATAAGGTTCATTTATAAATGTGTCAATTTCTGTTGAAATCTGCACTTTGTGCAAAATGAAAAAAAGAGGTCACACTCTGAACACATAGAGCTGTTCAGCAAGCTAAAGTGCTTTGGGGGCCTGGAGTGTCCCTTTAATGAATTAACCCTGCACGTTTCCCTCCAGGTCCTGAAATGAGTAACCAATGGATATGAGATTCCACATGTGCCGTTGGTTAATCCCTTCACCACTCGATATCATGTATATTCAGGCAACAAGTGTATGCATCTATACCCAAAACCCCACCCTGATATATACCTTTTTTCTCCTACAGTTTTAATAATTTACACATAAGATAAATTAATATAGTACTCTGGGCTGTAAATCCATTATGTTTTAACTCAGTGTTTTTCCTCTATCCATAAAACAAGGATCAGTAAAGTCATTTTATCATTAAATAATGTTCTCTGTGCATACTGACATGGTAATACATTTACAAATCACTTTATTGAATGTCTTTATTTTGCCCCTTTTCTTCAAATAATGTGTTAATGAAGGGTTTAAGTGCCAAATCAGAATACTGACCAGTGCTTTATATAATGGCACTCAGTGTTTCTCTTATGCAATACACATCCTGCAGAATTCTGCTCTCCACCCTCAGCTTTGTACTAGTGGATTGCCCTGCTCGTGTTGACAGCCGGAAGCTCTTATTCTCTTGCTTTGGATTGAATTCAAAAATAGTTGGGGGAAGTAAAACCCCAATTTATCCTCCTGGAAACAGAGCGTGTGAGAAAGGAACTGCTAAATATTTCTCAATAGCATCAAAACGTGGTGAGCTGTGCAAATGATAACGCGTTCTTTGATATCACAGAGTCCTATTAAAGGGAAATGCACACTGGTAGTGTGTGTAACAGAAGTTCTGAAGAAGTTCTAAACATGAAACAGTCACCAGGAACATTCCATTGTCTCCATGGTAACTTCTGCAACTTTAGAACTTTGCCCTAGAACTGATCATTATTCACTGAGGGTATTCGTTGAATTTTTTGTTAAGACCTTATTGAGAAATTAATGACTAATGGTATCCTTTCTTTGGTTCCATTTAGAACTTGCAGGGTTATTCACGAAAGTGAGATGTGCTAGTAAATCCTAGGGAATTTCACAGTTAAAGGGACACTCCAGGCACACAAAAAATTGCACTCTTACTTGAAGGGGTTAAACCATTCTTGAACGGTTTAACCCCAAAGTTGCCTTCTTTGCTGGTCTCCGTCTCCTTCCCTAGTGGCATCCGGCTTCAGCATTTTCACTTACAGGAAGCGGGGAGTGCCGCCAGGCAGAGGCGCCGCTGATTGGTTGACGATCTCAGCCAATCAGTGACACCCCATTCACAAAAGTGGGTTGCAAAAGGTACATATTTTTGCAAGCCAGTTTAGTGAATGGGGAGTCACTGGCTGAGAACAAGTAATTCACAATCCACCTGCCTGTTCAATGCTGCTGATTTGGGCACACAAGGTCCTTAGGGAGTCTAAGACAATAATACATTGTTTGTTCGTGTTATGACGCAATCATTATCAATCATTCCAGGCTTAGTTGGATTTTTGGTATATTGCTTGGAAGACATTATACCATTTAATTTAGCCATATACCTGTGTATTTGGACACTGAATGCCTGGAGTCTTCCAGCAGCTGCTTCAAAGTATGAATATAATTATGGCTGCACGGAAAGTTTGGAGAAATTTTTTTTTTAAGACTCAGTGACTAATTTTATATTTATGTAATTTATTACTTTTTTGTTTGTTTGTTTTTCATATGTTTTATATGCGGTGTTGCTTTTTATTGTTTGCCAGGTTCGATTTGTTTAGTTTTAGATTTTTATCTGTACTATGGCTTGCATGCTACAGCAATTATTTCATTCATAGCACCAGTCACGATTTTATTTTCTGCCCGGTGTCTGGGATTTAAACCATCTGTTATACAAAAGGGTGCGGCATTTCCAATTTCCAGTTTTGATCTTGTTCGATCTACGAGAATTTTAGCTTTCTAATTGTGTGTGTATATGTCTGCCTGAAGATTGTGCTTTCTTAACTGATCAAAATAAATATTAAAGGACCACTATATGGTCAGGAACATAAACATGTATTCCTGGCCCTATAGGGTTAAAAAACCCCGGAGCCCCATGCCTCCCTAAATCTAGTAAAATCTTACTTGTATTCAAGTCTGGAGCTGCTTGCTTTGCCATTGTTTCCTTTTGACCTGCCCTCTGCCTGCTGACATCATCAGAAGTGATGACCCAATCTGACCCAATCACAATGCTTTCCCATAGGATTGGCTGAGACTGACAGAGGCAGATCAGGGGCAGATAATTCAAACACAGCGCTGGCCAATCAGCATCTCCTCATAGAGATGAATTGAATCAATGCATCTATATGAGGAAAGTTCAGTGTCTGCATGCAGAGAGAGGAGACCCTGCATGTTTGGATGCATTTTAGGTAGCCATGTCCAAGGAAGTATCTCTAACAGCTATCTGAGGGGTGGCCAGTGAAGTTAGCACTAGGCTGTAATGTAAACACTGCATTTTCTCTGAAAAGACAGTGTTTACAGCAAAAAGCCTGAAGGTAATGATTCTACTCACCAGAACAAATACAATAAGCTATAGTTGTTCTAGTGACTATAGTGTCCCTTTAAGCATTAAGGCACTCTGGGAAGTGGAGCTTTGAGACATCTGTCAAGCCCTGAATTTTATATAAAAGTACAAAAATGAGAATCACAGAGCTCCATAGCAATGAAAATTACAGTAATGTGCAGCGTGTGCTGCTGAAGTCTACAACTGTGGGAGGGAAAACATATATATTTTTTAAATGTGTGAGTGTGTATATATACATATATTATGAAACCAAGGGGCTGCACTCACCTGAACATGCATAAATGGGGTGCTGCTGGGGGCCAATTTATACAATACACAAGAACCAGCACACTCACCTATCCACTAAACAGCAACTTCAATGTTGACAGATTTTATTAGTGTTTTTAAAAACACCTAATCTATGCAAAAATAGTGGGAGTTACGTTACATTATATGATCATACATTGCATAAGCCTGTTTAAAAAACATAAACAAAAAAAAACACCACAAATAAAATCTTTCAGTATTGAAGTTGCTGTTTAGTGGATAGGTGAGTGCGCTGGATCTTGTGTATTGTATAAACTGGCCCCCAGCAGCACCCCATTTATGCATGTTCAGGTGAGTGCAGCCCCCTGGTTTCATATATATATATTTGGGAGTCTAGCCAACCCCTCCCTGTCACAGGTACCTCATCCCAGGGCCCTATTAGGCCTTGTTCTGCAGAGAGCCCCAGATGGAATCCCCCCCCAAGTAAGTGGGTTAATCTCATAAGAGCAGACATTTGGATGTTAGAGTAGGACCTGCCAAAGATGGTGTACATTGACGTTGTGGCAGGCTTATGCAATGTATGATCATATAATGTAACGTAACCCCCACAATTTTATTCCTAGATTAGGTTTTGTTTTTTTTTAAATTAAAAAAATATATTAAAATCTGTCATCATTGAAGTTGCTGTTTAGTGGATAGGTGAGTGCGCTGGATCTTGTGTAATATATATATAATTTATTTTTTTTCTTCTATTTTTTAATTTCTGTGGAGATCTTGGAAGAATAAAGTAATAGAGACTGATTAAATCACCAGGCCTAGCACAGTTAACAGGTCTCAGCTCCCCCACGTTGGGATATGCTGTGGGACCTTTAGAAGGCACTGGCAAATGTCTTGACTTGAAACCCAGCACCATTCTCTGTACGTTCTGGCAGCACAGCCTGACACAAGGGAAAATGCTCCCAGTCCCTCACTAATGTATCCTTGTCAGCTGCTTGGTGTGAGTACTTCCAGGCCACATGCTCATAGTATAGATGGGAACTTTGATCCTATGCTTTCCCTCTGTACTGAAGATCTGGGGGCTGTAAACATGAGCCTTGCTGTCTGTATCGTGCCCTTGGACAAATGCTCGACACGCTTAGTATAACTCCTTCTCCTGATCTTTAGATTCTATAATGTGATGCGGAGATATGCTCACAGTTAGAAAGTATCCCTGCTTTTAGCCCAAGACTCTGGCCTAGTTAGCTGGTAGCTTTAAAAGTAATCTCTGATCTCATTCACACAGCAAGGAAAGTTGTGAGTCAACCAGCCGTCGCTGCTGCACTTACGTGGATCTCAAAAATGTAATGTATTTTGTGTGAGTCATGCTCCAGAAAATTAGTGTCTGTGTTTTATTCCACAACAAAAATCTGCAGGAGAGAGGGGAACAAATCTATAGAGCTGGATACATGTGCACTGCATTTAACTAGTTACTGTAATTATTTATTATTGCAGTGTTGGGGCTGCCATGACCGTTACAATTGTAGCACTCTTGCCTCCTACCTACCTCCTATTTGTTTCTGCTTTTTCTGCTTCCCAAAGCAGGGCACCCATCAGCACAGATGCTGGTCTAAATGCCACCTCAATGGCAGATTGATGTCTGTCACTCAGTTTCTCTGTTCAAGTGGTTTACCTTGCCAGAGGGTAGAATATTTACAGTGACTGCAGCACATTGCTATGGATTCTTTAGTTGTTCTACTAGAGAACCCTCTAGTGCGGGATTCTCCTGCTGTCACGTGTCAATCAGTTCTCAGAGGTCAATGCTGTCAGTGCCGAAAATTGATTGACAGGTGGGGATTAGTGACAATATTTTCTTGAGCTTTTTTTTTTTAATAAAATGTATGCATTTTCTAGCAGTTTGGCCAGACAATGTAGATTTCAAATGTAATACTATTGAGAGGAACATTAAACTTTTTTTTTTACATATGACAGGTGTCAAGGATGTCTGTAATCTAATTTCTGCCCTGCCAAAACTTACCAGGATACAGTGAAGGAGTTTAAGCATGCGTGGGATAGACATAAGGCTATCTTAGACATAAGAGACTAATGAAAGTATTTTAAAAAATTGGGCAGACTAGATGGGCCAAATGGTTCTTATCTGCTGTCACATTCTATGTTTCTATGGCTGTTAATGTGAAGTGAAAATGTCTAGGACAAAAACAGAACTACAAAACAAAACTATTTCAACAGTGATAACTGAATCCTAAACTGTCTCTTTAGGCAAAATCTCCATGAGAATGTTTTTTAGAGACAAGTTTAAATGGCTAAGCAGCTGTTAATAATCATATGATGACCTTGGCTTAGGCTGGATTTAATTGGCTGACACAGCTACCAGAATGCAGTCTGGAACTCTGTAGACCATTTTCATGTGCTACATACTCCAGCAATCCAAGGCCCCATTTGTGAGCATGTGTTGCCTATTGGTTAGTGGCTTTTGATCCTAGATGTTTCAATGTCACAATCAGCATTTGCAACTCTAGATTGGCACAGATAGACCCGGGCAGCTCTAGCTTCAGGAAAGCTCTAAATGGGCTCTAGATCTGGGGCAGCTCTTGGTGGGCTCTAGATCTGGGGCAGCTCTTGGTGGGCTCTAGATCTGGGGCAGCTCTTGGTGGGCTCTAGATCTGGGGCAGCTCTTGGTGGGCTCTAGATCTGGGGCAGCTCTCGGTGGGCTCTAGATCCGGGGCAGCTCTCGGTGGGCTCTAGATCCGGGGCAGCTCTCGATTGGCTCTAGATCCGGGGCAGCTCTCGATGGGCTCTAGATCCGGGGCAGCTCTCGATGTGCTCTAGATCCGGGGCAGCTCTCGATGGGCTCTAGATCCGGGGCAGCTCTAGATTAGCAGGAACATGTTGGTTCTATATTGAATACCTGTAACCTGTGGGTGTGACCAGTTAGCCAAATTCACTCAAAGTTGTCCACATGCCTTTAGCTATGTGGGGAAATGGAAAGATAGTGAAAAACACAATGAGAATTTTTTTATAAAACCATTAATCTGGCATTTTTCAGTGCAGCAGCCTAAAAAAAAAAGAAGAAATCTACTTATGGGCTTCCATATGTGGATTTATGCCCATAGGTAATGCTCTGTGCTGATGGTGCTATTTAGAATCCCTGCAGATTTGCCCAGTTAAACATGGCTCCCTTGGGAAACGTGGACTGCAACGCAAAATGAGGTTGTTACTGGAAGAGTTAAGCTGGTTTGTGAATGGTATCAGAGTGGCTTAGTGCAGTTTGCAAAAGAAGTGAGTTTTCCATACAAGATAAAGAAACCCAGAGCAAAGAGAAAGCACCTTGCACTAAGGGTATGCTGTTTGTACTTAGTCCCTCCTTAGGCGTCAGCAAGTAGTCTGATCTACCTTTGGTACTTCCCCAATTAGAACCTCTTTGATAATTGTCACATGCTATGATACCTTAAAAATAGGGACTTTCTGCTGACTCCAAGTGTCTTCTGTTTCTGTTTGCACACTAAATGTGAGCTCATAACCCTGCCATGAGCTCTGCAAAATTATTTTAAAACTTACTTTTTTCTCCCTACTTTTTTTTAGATGATGTCATGGATTTAATCCATTCGGAATCCCAACCTGACAACCAGCTGCACTCCCCTGTGCTTGTTTCAAGAAATACGGAACATGCTAGCATTCTCGAAACGGTCACCGTCGCCTCTTGTATCCAACCTCGGGACTGCAGGCCGTCTGCGTGGCAACCACTGCAAGACCTCCCTCTACCACCTCCACCACCACAGCTTCTGATCACAGAACAGCCAAAGCAGAGAGGGATGCGATTTCGATACCAGTGTGAAGGAAGGTCCGCGGGGAGCATTCTGGGACAGCATAGCACCGATCAAAACAAAACTCTACCGGCAATCGAGGTGACCACACGTTAATTGCTTTGTTTTACTCACATACAGGAGGCTTGGTGTTCTTGGGAATTAAAAGTGAATTTTAAATTATAGGTCATCATAGCCAGTCTCAAAACATAGCCAATATGGAAGATTTTTCCAATTTGCTATTTTGGCCTAACACTTGAAATTCTCTTTGAATTCCTGACAATTTACAGTTAAGTGAATGACCCTTTTTGTCAGTATAAAAGAAGTATGAATTAATAGACTAAGTCAGTCTTAGCCATATGTATTTGTTTGCCTTTATTAAAATAGTGAAGTGTGTCTGCTAGAAAGGATTACGTTGAGCTGAGGAGATAAAAATGGATATCACTCCCTGGATAAATCCACTTTGAGTAAATAAATAGTTTTACCTGTTTATAGGTTTGTATCTATTTCACTACATACAGGTTAGAATGTCCGTCTTTTCCTTATTTACTCAACTCAGTTCCAGCAAGATTTATTAGGCAGTGGAGATATTTTATTGTGTGACAGGTATTCATTGTTGCATATTATTTATTAATAATTAATGTTACATTGGCTGGTTTCCGTGTTTCCGTTAAGGCATATTCAGTAAGTAGTTTTATGTTTTTTTTTGTTTTTTTTAGACGAAGACTCCATAAAAAACAAACAAAACTTAAAATAATGTAGTAGATATACCTCAAAAGAAATATGCTTAAAAATGTGTTTTACGTGTTTTCTTTGGGGCGTATTAACTCTTGCCTTGCATTTATGTTGACAAGTCCATAAAATTTACTCCTTTAAAAAAACTATAACCCCCTTCTGCCTTTGATTTCCTTTCTGGCACAATTGAGATTCTTTTCAGTAAAATATCATTGATGCTGGAATCTACCACCCGCCTAGCTCTCCTGTGCACTCCCTTTCTGACATAGCCCAACTACTAAATGATACTGTAAATCAAAACCAAAAAAGTAACTGTTGGTTTTTGGAGATTTCAATATTGATTGGCTGAATCCTAAAAATAATTATGTCATGTACATAATAATCATGTACGCTGTTTAAGACTTTCCAGCTAACACAATTTCCTCCCCAACTCACATTAATATTAAAAGCCAGAACCATACCTTGCTCGAGTGGATTCTCTCCAGTTGTCCTGACAGAATCCAAGAGGTGGGTGTTCTCCCTAACAGTTTCAGTGACCACTGTCTAGTGTAATGCATATGCAAAATAAAGGCCACTAAATCCCCTCCCAAGATTATAATCACCAGGTCTTTTAAAAAATTTAATCTTGAATCATCTTTTTAAATGATCTCAAGAACATACCATGGCACAGATTAGGTCTAATCCCAGATCTAGACTCTGCAATTGCATTTTTTTTTTTGAGTCCGAGCTCTTGCTTGTTTGGAGTTTGCATGCCCCTCTGCGTAAAGTCTGACTAAAAGGGACACATCTGCCCTGGTTTACAACTGACCTCATTCAAATGTACCAGTTTAGAAATTCACTGTGGTCAAAGTTAAAGCATACTGTACTTACAGACAATGGCGAAATGCATGCACAAAACAAACAAAAATAGCAAAGGCCCAATATTTCAGTGAAAATTTGAACAACAACCTATCAAACCCAAGAAACTTCTGGAAAATCATAAATAGCATATAAATCCCCACAATCCACTCCCAACCCTCCACTGTCAAAATGGACAACCAAACACTGCAACACCCCCTAGATGTAGCAAATGCCTTTAATAATTATTTTGTTGGATGTGCTACCACCCTGGTTGCTAAGATAACAAATGACACTCATTTTCAGACCGCAAATAAAGATCAGGCCCTGCCAAATCTTCATAATCCTCATATAGAGAAATTCAATTTTAGACCTGTCCCTGTTATTGTTGTTAATAAACATCTTCATAATTTAAAAATGAAAAACCAGTGTGGATCAGATCAAATCCCAGCAATGTGGCTGAAGCTCAGTGCGCCAGCGATTCCTAAACCTGTCACTACCCTTCCCAATGAATCCTTGGTGTCAGGATACATACCCAAACTTTGGAAGACTACAAAAGTTGTACCTATCCATAAAAGTGGTAACAATACTTTGGTATCTAACTATCGCTCAATGTCATTGCTCCCTGTATTGTAAAAAATCTTGGAAAAATGCGTCCACATGCAACTATGTGAATATTATGAACGGTCAAATTATCTGACCCGTGATCACTCAGGCTTTCGTCCAAATCACTCAACTTTGACTGCCCTCTTAAAAGTTTGCAATGACATCCAAACTGGCATAGAACAAGGAGACTTAACTGGAACTATTTTCCTTGATTTTGCCAAGTCCTTTGACACAGTAGACCATGGCATTCTTTTGCAAAAACTTAAAAACTCAGGCATTGGTGATTGTCTGCTAACCTGGTTTCGACCGTATGTTTCAGACCGACTGCAATAAGTGGCCATTTCTGATAGCGCTTCCCTCCCTCTTCCAGTCACGTCTCGATCCATCATTCTGTCTCTGGGGTCTGTCCCTGCGTCCATCCGTCAGTGGGGTTGGTCTAGATTATTCTGTATCATGCTACCCCAGTTAGTTATTTCCTGCGGATCGTGTATATATATTTATAGTTTGTTTATTGCATCCTATTGTAACAATGCAATGTTTTGTGGACCCAGCACATACTTCAAAACAAGAGAAATCTCAATGTATCCATCCTGGTATATATATATATATATATATATATATATATATATATATATATATATATATATATATATATATATATATATATATATATTTTGCTGCAGATCCAGTACCTGCACCTACTGCAAGCACCCCCCATCTTCCCCTCAAATACCTTCTGTGGCTGTCCAATCACAGACTGAGCTGTAAAAGTGTTTGCAAGGCAAGTGCTCTAGGTAATTTTGCCTGAATACTTAAAGGAAAAGTATCATAAGACAAAAGAAACATTGAAAAGTTGTACTATTTATTTAGCAGCTTGTGCTACTTTAAAAAAATAAATGTATTCTTTGTTTTAAAGACAAAGTGTGTATACAAACCAGGATATTAATCCAAGCAAAACATATGAGTTCTGGGCTGCCTTAGCCACGTGTGCTGAAGGTGCAACTTGTCCCCAACACACAATAAAAAAATATCTCTGGATGTGCTGTGTTTCAATCCACACTTTGGGTCTCTACAGAAAAGACGTTTATTACCAGGACCAGTTCCATTCATCACATTAGATGAGTGAAACTGCTCAGTAAACAAAGAGCAGACACACTGCAGCTGCTATCAGATTAAAGACAGCCAAGTTCACATTTTTGTGAAATTTTCTGTTTACAGAGATCAGCAGAGCACGGCCAGTGGTTTATCTCGCTTGGGAGGAAAGAGATCTCAGTCCAAGTTGAGCTTGTGGCATGTAACTTGGATAAAACTGAAACTGTCAGTCCTGAACAGAGAGAGAGCTGGCAGCTCTGTCAGGCTGGTTATAGCTGCAGCAATTTTTTTGAGAAACTGTCAATGAAAGATTTTTTTTTTTATTTTTTTTTTTACTGCTCAGTACAAAGCAATAAAGTTAAGACAAAAGTTAACATGACAGTAAAATGTGCAAGAAAATATAGAAATAATGATTTTTCAAAGTGAATGTTTGTCTAGAATGGAACAAGCAGCGCAAGCAGAAACCGTTGCCAGAAAGGGAGGTTGCTTGGGTTAAAACCAAAGAAACAAAATTACCTGCACACTTTCCCAAATCCCTATGTATATTTAAACAAATGGAGGTTGTTTAGTTATCTTGGTTTGCCACACTGGCCTCTTGTTTACCAAGCTTCCTAGGTGATCTGACTAGCACTATAACAGACCAGCACGTGGCTTTAATTTGGCACAGGATGGAAAACACCGGGTTAATCATGGTAGTCATCTTGAAGGAGCAACCATCATAACCATCAATGTGGGCATTCTGCTCGCAGACTCACAGGACATTTCTGCACATAAGCATTCTTCACAACCACCTAATTAAATTTGTGATCCATTGTGTAATGCAAGTACACGCCAAACAATGTAATTAGATGTTTTAGACCAACCTGTGATTACAAATAGTTATTTACTAAAGCTTGGAACTGGGAGTTTAATTTCTTTAGGCAAAAGCAATCAAATTGGACACATTCTCCAAGTCTGTTATCCTTTCAGCTCCGCTATTTTGATCTAAAATTGCTAATTCCTGGTCAGTTATCTGGAATTGCCAGTTTAATTAAAGGACCGCTATAGTGTCAGGAACACAAACATGTATTCCTGACACTATAGTGGTAAAATACCTATTTAGGTGTCCATTCTCCCTTTGAAATGCTGATTTTAATCACCTTTTCTCTCAGGCCGCTCCGGTCTCATTGTGGTGACCCTGTCTCGTTCCACCTTGATAGTTGAGATCATGAAACTTGATAATCTCAGCCAATCCAATGCGTTCTCACAAGAAAGCATTGTGAGGCTATTGTGCATGTGCAGCAAAATACTGTTTTGCTGTTACATTCATTCCTATAAACCTGCAATTTCCAGGTGAGCCCTGGTGGGTTCCCATCTACAGTCAGAAGCAAATTATCTCCATTCAATTGCAAAATCACCTAAATTACCTGCTACTTGTTAATATGCTGAACTTGGTAAGGCTCGTTTAGTAACTCATTAACACATACAGGATTATACGCTTAAATCAGGAATTCTCGATTTATTATATATTTTAAATTTTTATTCATTTTACTTTTTAAAAAAAAAATTTAGGCCAAAGAAGATGAACTGGAAACGTGGCTAACCTGGAGAATTTTTCCAGTTTGGCCGTTTTAGACAAAATGTGATGGTTAGTCAATAATTTTGATAAAGATTAATAGAACATGTTCACTCTGAGTTATAGTCATTAATTTGAAGGAAAAAAAAAATACTATTTGACTGCTAGGAATCGTGTTGAGCTGGTGGGATAATTTCATTCCTAGGCACAAATTAATCCCAAAATAGCCAAAGTAAAAAAACAAAACAAACCAAAGCAGTTCACATGTGGATTATTTGGTACTTTTTGGCTGTCTTAAGTCATGTGAGCCCTTAACAGAAAATACAAGTTTCACAGTCCCTGATTCAATGTGTGTTCTATAAAACCACCTGTGTACAGTGCCACTCCTTAACGAACAGCATATTTTCATATATAAATTAGTCTCGAGCGACATTCTAGTAATTTTCCTGTTACTATGTAATCCTTCCTAAGGTGCTGATGACCCATGCTATGATGTGGTTGGTGTATGTTAAGACTGGTTCTATGTTGTTGTCTAGAGAAAAACTAAGTATTTTAAAAGTTAGTGGAAAGCACCTGAAATCCCTGGGATGTCTCACCCGTTACCTGTTATTACATTTGTCCTTTACCCTTTCTCCCCTCCTACTTGTGTTCTTCTTGTGCAGCTGCGTAACTGTGAGAATATCTCTGAAGTGTGTGTCAGAGCTTGCCTTGTGTGGAAAGACCATCCTCACCGGGTTCACCCGCACGGCCTTGTGGGTAAGGACTGTCACGATGGCATCTGTGAGGTCACTTTGCATCCAAAGGAAGGGGAGACACAGCACAGGTGAGCATTTAATTAAAATGCTTGGACAAACTCACACATTCCATTGGAACCTGACTAGAAGCTTTTTACACAGGTCTTTAACCGCTTAGTGACTGAGATTATTCTGAAATACAGTGCATTCATGATTCAGGCCTCTTTGCATGTTTATGTGTTATTGTTTTTTTAAAGGACAGAATTTTCTTCAGATGTACATTACGAACATTACATATGAATAAAATATTAAAAACAAAAAACAAATAATTTTTCATAGTTATGCAATGCTTATATTAATTTCAACACAACAAGTGAAGGCGTATACATTTAAAAAAAATAAAAAAAAATTTATTCCTGATTGGTAAAATCCCTCATTTGTCCAGGGTTTCAGTTATTTTTTTGTAAATTCAAGGACAAATATTATAAGGAGTAAATGATGATTTAAAGCTAAACCTGTGCAAAATTTGGTCTACGGAGACTATACCTTGATCAGCAGTTACACAATCCAAACTGCTAATGCAAAAGCTTTTATTTTGTAGGTCATAAGACACCCCCAGGGTATTTAACTAAGAACAGTTTTGACACTTTTCATGTGACCATTTTATCACCAACCTTTACCAAACCTTCTATATTAATATATTATTTTACATATGTTTCATTTCTTCAGGCCCTAATACTGTGGGCCCTAATACTGTAAAGATCCCAGATACATTCACATTCATCTTAATTTTTTAAATTAAAGGGTTTATTAACCCCTTAAGGACCAAACTTCAGGAATAAAAGGGAATCATGACATGTCAGACATGTCATGTGTCCTTAAGGGGTTTTCAAAACAACAAAAGAGGTAGTGATAAAAGCCAAAAGGATAGCTATGTATACATGTACAACATATTTCTTCATGAAGCAAGTTCACCAACAGAGCTTAAAGGAACACTAAACGGGGCGGAGCCAAGCAAGCGAACGAGGCAGACGCACATAGATGGACTCTCTGTGCATATTGCTTTAAAACCCATTTTACCACCAATACAAAGCACTGCAAAGACACCCCATGAACCCACTGGGGGTATGGGGAGAAAAACAAAAAAGCAGAGACCAGACAAACCCAAAACCGGGCCAGATATCAGAGATTTATTCCGACAGGCGCAAGGGGCACAGGGGCCCAAAATGGCCGTGGACCTTGCTGAATACACAGATTCGCCGCACGTCCTGGGCCTTGGAGACTACACGAGCGGTATGTTTGCCCCATTAACGCAGCCAACCCCAAGAAAGGGGCCACCCGACCTGGTCACCACAGAGACACTGCGATCCATGTTAGGCGATTTTCAGAAAGTATTGCAAGCCGACGTGGCCCAGCTACGCACAAACCTGACAGGCATGGTGAGCCGCATTGAAGTGCTGGAGGCCTCGTCAGACAAACCGGCACAGGCCATAATGGAGCTCCGGACAGAGGTGCAGACACTTAAAAAAACATCAAGAGACCACCGACCTACGATTCGCAGCCGTGGAAGACCTCCGGCGCCGCAACAACGTGAAAATAAGGGGAGTCCCCGACGATATCCCAGCAGAGGAACTCCCGTACCTAACATGCAGGCTCATTGGAGCACTTCTGACACCGAAACAAGCCAATTGAAGCGGTCTTCCGGGTCCCCAAACCGCAGAGAGCCCCAGGACCCGCATCAAGAGATGTGGTGAAATTCCGCTCGGGCGCTAACGAGGCGGCGGTCCTCGCGACCCTCAAAGGAAAAACGCCATATGTTTACGAGAATGCAGCCCTTACCTTCTATGCTGATCTGTCCAGGGATACCCTCCAATTGAGACGATCCCTCCAGTCATTCACTGCACTCCTGAGGCAAAACGGCATAACATACCGATGGCGCACACTGAGGACTCTGCAGGTCCAGCGGAACAATGCGACCTACACGGTAACCGACCGACCTTCAAGGAGCGGATACACTACTCTCCACACTCGGCCAGCCGGAGGACTCCCTAACTCCTCCAAGGTGCCCAGGGACCTCAGCCACGGCCCAACTCTGGGACCCAGCGCGGATAACACCATCGTGCCACAGGGAAGGCAACCAGAGGCGGGTGTGAAGGCAACCACGTCCGGATCACCGGGGACCCACAGCCTCACTACCTCCCTTACCCTTACGGCCACACATCAGCGGCACTTCGATGCACCAGGGGATTACACTGGACTCTGCCTTGGCATTTTTAGTTCCAATGGATACCTGGGAACACCCGAGTGCCTCATTACGAGCTTCTTGGGCCTGCTCGGGCTGACCCGATCTGCCGAATGAACAAATGTGGTTTAACCCCTTAAGGACACATGACGTGTGACATGTTATGATTCCCTTTTATTCCAGAAGTTTGGTCCTTAAGGGGTTAAAGTGGTTTATATATTTTTATGTTTTCTAATATAAGTTTTTACTCTTATGCTTTTTCTCTTTCTTGCATAATAAATCACGCTGCCAAGCCATATTCTAAGCTAGGCCCCATGAGATACACTGCCTCGAATGAAACTCCGCCCACACCTCAGACTGAAGAGCGCTGGTTTCCCTACCGCCGCCTAGCCGAGCCTGACTAACTCGCCGACAGCACAAGCCACCAGAAGTTTGGACCAACATACCGACGGACAGAGAGCCCAGTCTAGACTAGTAGCACTACTAGAGTAACCCCCACACGGGGCAAAAAGTTCTGTCGCCACCCTGACACACTCCCGTGACCAGCTGATGAGCCCGCAACCCTTTATTGCTGAGTGATATCTTAACCCAGTGGCCCACACCCTTACCTGACCACCATACCGACGCAACATCCCCCAACCCATACACAGACTCATAGCACGCACACTCAACCCTCCGCGGCTAGACCGCTACAAGAGACAGCAGAACCCAAATCTCACACCGACCGTAGAACCACAGATGCTGTGACTCTGTTCTATCAGCACGAGATAACCCTTATGACACCCCCACGGTATCTCCAACCTGGGATACCAACCTATTTATAACTAATTGTAGGACCGAACTATTGCCTTTCTAGCTCCATAACCTTGTCTTCACGGTATACCACTCCTGATTATCATACAAAACTAATGTGCACGGTCTTTTAATATGCCTAAGTTGCTAAAACTATTGTCATCACATGTCTTACCTTTGCTGTTGTGGCATAGTAAGAAAGCTTGTTACCTTCATGCATATCAAAAATAAAGAATTATAAAAAAAAAAAAAAACACTAAACAAAACTGTATTCCAAAACAAACACCTTTTTTCACTTACTTGATTCCATTGCTGAGGTCCATTGGTGCTGGATAGCTGTCCCCTTCCTCTGATAATCTGCAATGGAGATAACCTAATGCGCGTGTGGACCGAGCACTCATTAGCTCTCCCTCATAGTAAAACATTGAATCAGTGCTTACCTATAGGGATATTCAAGATGCTTGACGTCCTCATACAAAGCGTGAAGATATCCAGCATCATTTCACCAAGTTAAAATACATGAAAAGCCAGGAAGCGTCTCTATTAGCTGTCTGGAAGACCACCACAACAGTCTTAACCCTCCAGTGTAAACATTGTAGTTTATCTAATACTGCAATGTTTTAGATTGGAGGAGTAAGGAGACAGGGTCACTGCACCCAGACCACTTCAATGGGATGGAGTAGTTTGGGTGCCTATAGTGTTCCTCTAATACAGGGGTTCTCAACCCAGTCCTCGGGACCCCCTACCAGTCCAGGATTTGGGGATTACCTGGGTGTGTCTAAGGTGTTTAGAAAAAGGGGGGAAAAAAACACCTTAGACTCTAAGGTGTTTTTTTTTTCTTTTTCTAAACACCTTAGACACACCCAGGTAATCCCTAAACCCTGGACTGGTAGGGGGTCCTGAGGACTAATGTTGAGAACCCCTGCTCTAATAAAACTTACACTTATAGGGCAGAAATGCCTCACCAAAGAAAACATTTGTCCATATAAAGGAGGGAAAAGGGGGAGAGGTTAAACCACAAATCGCCCAGCAGGTGATTCACTTCTGAAAATGGACATACAGATTTAATTTTAATAATGGGTTTCACAGCCCTGTGTGTCCTACTACTTAAAAAGCATACAGCAGTGCAACAATACCCACACGTATACCTGTGCCATATTTGTAGTGTACAGCATGTGGTTTATTCACTGAACCCTGAATTGTAGCATAATAACATCTGAATGATAAAATTCAGCACAAGTAGCCAAGCCGTGGCCCATAGCGGAGAAATCTCTAAACCAGCAATTTCAGTCTAAAATGTGACTGTGTGTCTTATTTCAGCTTACTACAGTTCAGAGTTTAGTAAATAGACCTCTGTGGTTGGAAAGAAATTCAAAGTGAATTTAAAATTTTAATCTGTAATAACCAAACTGTAAACAGTCTCCTATTTGGGTCTAAGATGGAAAATCTAGTATGAATGTACTTTAATTGAATCCTGCTAGGTTGAACTACTCTGATTAAACGACAGAAGAGAAACAAATATAGCAAATTTAGCGTGATAAGTACATAGTGATACAGAAACAAAAATAAATGTTCAATTCATGCAATGTAACCACCCGCCCCTCACATTCTTTCACATGCAGAAAGATGACGAAATAGTCACATGTGCATCTCAAATCACCAGAAAATGAATTCATGAGAAGTGGCAGCAGTGGTTCCCATTCACTCATGATGACTGTTTTTGTTATTTCACTGAGTGGGATGCCTTTTGTAGCTGTTCATTCAGTTTACTTACAATAAACTTAGAGGATTCTGGGAAACCTAACATTGTCCAGAATTCCAGTTGGGGACTCCCGATGGCACAAAGAGGGCTTATAAAAGACAGACCCTTCCTAAATGTTTCTTGGAGATGGTACATTATAAAAATACAATTTGAACAGAAAAAAATAAAGATATTCTATATGTACATACACAAGGTCTGTCCGCAAAGTACCCAGCCATGTAAAATAATAATAATAACAAAGTATTTAACCGGGAAATGCACATTCAGATTACTCTGGTTTTCAAGTACGTCCTGGGGATGTTACCTTAGCCCAATATCCAGGGTTGTTACTATTACCCAATTTAATGGTACTCATTTTATCTACCTCGGAAAATAAAAAATAGACATTTATTGAAGAAGATACAAGAAACATTGTACATAGGACATTGACGCCTCAGTCCCCTTCAAAGTAGGCACGTTGAGACCTCACACGGTTCTCCCAGTGTCTCTTCCACTGTTCAAAACACTCTGCGAAATCCTTTGTTGGAATTGCCATCTGCTGCCTTGTCATATTTACCCAAATCTCATCGATGGTCTGAAATCTCTTCCCTTTCAAAGGTGACTTTAGTTTTGGACAAAAAACAGAAGTTGCAGGGCGTTATATTATTCAACAGGTTCTCGACCATCTTTGAGGTGTTTGTACCACACTTTTATTTGTGCTGCACTCGTTGCAGTGTAATGCCTTCTGAATCATCTAAATAGTTTCCGCGGAGGAATGTTCAAGCATAGCGCAAAATTTTATGCAGATTAATTGCTAGAATTGCTCATTCACCTTGAATGTGATGGCCACACAGTACACATGCTCAATAGTACCACTTTGCATATCCCCTAATCTGCTATTTAACTTGGTTATTCTGGATTTGCAGTTCATCACTTTAAAAAAAAACAAAAAAAAACTATAGCAACTAGTGGGCTGCAATAAATACACACATACAGAACCCCATACCACAAATATGCATAAAATGGAAAAATACAACGTACAGGAACTTCAACAAAACACTTACTGCCGCTTAGAAAGGACTTTTAAATCTTATCGTTTCATATATTGTCTTGGAGGAAACTTGAATCAGCTCACTTTGTTGAATTTCTTGTATTGTTCCATTCTGTGCATTTAATGATTCATTGTATTTTCTGTATGGGATTCTGTATGTATCTTTATACTGTACTCTGGGCACTCCATTGTAGTAAAGATCACCCGTTTAGTATACAATGCTCTGCATATATTTTTGGATATTTAGGCTGCCAGATTTTATTTACTTAGCTTTTGCCGAATGTGGACTTGAGATGTGGCTTGAGCCAGCCTGTGACTTAGGGGTTTATTCAATAATCATTGCATTATCACATTGGAAAAGTGAATCGAAAATGTAATTGCAAGATTTAGGTGAAACTGGGAGAATTACTCCCTACTCACAACTGTAGTCACAACTCTATTTCAGCCCATGTTTCACAATTTGGTTTTCAGTTTACTAGAGGCTGGTGTTAAGTGTTCAAGCACCAGGACATCCATTAATTCCTGACAGTTGATATTAGTAATTGAGCTGATTCTGAGTTTGCCTCCCAGAGAGTACGTTCATGGACTGGTCAAAGAAAGTGTAGTCCTGCTGGGTAGTCTGGATTCTGACGGAGTCATCTGACTCTCCTGTAATCACACATCTATACTTACAGTCCTAGCTAGGAGTCTGGCTATAGCTCAACACTGCCTCCTACAGCTAATGAGCTCACAGTAGAAAGCAACTTTTATAGGCTGAAAGGTACAAAGCTCACTGTTTGCACCTACAATCCCATAAGTATTATAATTAGCTGTAGTTACTCATTAAACTGGTAAATGTGGAGATTTCACATGGAACTGCAAATTTTAGGCTAGAATAGCTGTGTTGGAAAACCAGGTAAATTGAAGAATTTTTCCAGCTCAGCTACTCTGGTCTATTATTTGCAATTTCCTTGCTGTTCTCCTCAATGTTCTGTTTGATGAATACACCTGAGAGAGTACACAATGTGATAAAAGCCATAGAGAGTGACGGTGTATACTGTATGCTTCCTGTGTTATGCCTAGTAACATTCTGTTATTTTGTGTCCAGTTTTAGTAACCTGGGAATTCAATGTGTGCGAAAGAAAGAGATCGAAACAGCTGTCCAACAGCGATTAGGTCTCGGAATAGACCCGTACCATGGTGAGGAACTCACTTAGTGCTTATGTACGCTAAGATAAGAAAGGAAGTAATTTATCCACAATAATGGGACTTGTTACAGAACCAACTTGGAGTTCTGGGAACATTCATTAACTGACTCTGACAGCATCATTTACAGAACTGAAAATTCAAAGTGAATTTAAAATTTAAGGTAAAAGTTGTTGAAATTGAATCATTCTCTCAGTCAGTTATACTTTCCATTTTGACCCTTAAATTTGAAATTCACTTTGAATTGTCACATTGGTGAATAACCCATTTTTAGCGCTGAGCTTGTATATTCTCATACTATGGCTTCAAGTTCAATATTTTTGGCTATGCGTTTTAAATAGTTTTTATATTTTTACTTAAATATTTTTAAATTATTTTTTTAATTTTTTTAAAATCTATCCTAAAAGAAAACGTATCCATAAATCAAGAAATATTAAAATATTTCTCTAACTATTAACTCATGTTAAAAAGTGTATCCAAAAGTATTAGATTTATTTGAAAAGCATATCCACCTTATTAAATGAAGGCCTTTGTTTTTACAAACATTATGTGTAGTTTGTAATTTATTCGCTGTGATCAGTTGGTTGTTCAGTGTGTATATTTAGATATGTCTTTGGACAGTTGCTTGCTATGCAGATGTTTGATGTTTGCCGATCCTCTCCTCCCCCCAGCTGGCATGTGGCGGCACCATGAAGAGGTGGACTTGAATGTCGTTCGACTCTGCTTCCAGGCCTCTTACTACGAACCAGGAGGACAGAGAAGGCTGATACCACCAGTGCTGTCTGAACCGGTCTATGATAAGAGTGAGTTAAACACAGGAACCCCATGGGGTTCTACACGGTCACTGCGTTCCTCTGCCTTTACTATCCGCAGCCCACCCCGAATCCCGCTATTGCCAATATTCACTGCTTCCACTGTGTTCTGCTATACCAGGGAATACTTTGCATTCTATCTCTCCATATATCTACGTTTTCATCATTTAATTTATTTTTTCTGATGCTACTTTTTATTGCCCCATCCATTTGCAGAAGCAATTTTTATGTTCCTGCTAACAATGTAAATATTTAAATCCTAAAAAGATATAAAGTTCATATTTACGAATCCCATGCTTATGGATAGAGTCTGTTACTGGATACTTGCTTTCTTGTAATGTAGCAGGATTTGGTGAAAGCTGCTATTCTAAGTGTTTTGCTTGTTTTCTGTTAGAATCCACGAACACATCTGAGCTGAAGATTTGTCGGATGAACAAAGACTATGGTCACTGCGAAGGGGGCGAAGAAGTGTACATCCTGTGTGACAAGGTGCAGAAAGGTAAATGGTGCGATGCAAACATAAAAACCACTGATGTGAGCTCCGGACAAGTAGAAAATGCTTATCTTCCATGCAGAGTTGGTGGTGATCCTGTTGCTATAGGAAAATATAATTTATAATATAAGCTGAGCTTACCAGCCCTTTAATTAAGCACATGAATGAAACATGACTCCTCCAGGCCAGTAGTATTTCTAGTGTAACTCTTCTACTGAAATAGACACTTAATCCACCACAACCTCTACAGTTTACTATTGTGGTTATGATATCCTGGCAATTTTCAGAGAAAATACTCAGGTCCGTTTTATTGGTTTATTGCAGAATAAATACTTGTTGCCTCCAAGGGAGAGTCAATGCAGGCTCTGAATAAGGACATTCCTTATTTAGAATTTATTCAATTTCTCCATTACATAATCTAACCTCTGTTAATCAACAGATTTGTATTTTTCAGATACTCGCTCTTGCCTTTAACCACTTATTGTAAAAATTATTTCATAATTATTAAATCATTTTAAACATTGATCCAAAAATATTAAATTAAATCATTTGGAAAGCTTATCCAAGATGGTTAAATCGAGGCCAAAGTAAGAAAAGAAAACCACTTTTAAGCAAACTCCTCAAATTCAGTTTGTAACACTTTCACATCTGCCAGAGGCCCCATAGTATATAACCATAGGTGCAAGGATTCTTTGAGTGCTGTTCTTCTGAAGACACCCCACCAATCCTCCATGCTCTCTGAGTTTGACTAGTGTCCAAATTTGGACATGTGATGAGCTGGATTTGGGTGCTGGTGATACCTCTGTCCTGACCAACCCCACAGAAATGGTTGAGCTAAAGCTAGACAGGGACCAATACAAAGAGACCTTGCATCATAACTACTAGAATAACCTGCAATACTTATAATGCCTTGAGTGTCTCTTTAAATGTCCCTTTGTCAATACTAAATACGGCCCCCTGCATTCTAAGGTGTAGAAGTTAATTTCATGTTCATTGGTGAGTATATTCTGATAAAATGTTGAAACATTACATTGAGGCCTTTTATAATTTTTTTTTGTTAATTTTTTTTTTTTAAATCAAGATAATGCGGAGAGCTATTTACCTTGTAGTTAATGTATAGATCTATATAAGGCTCTATGGAGTGTACAAATCACACTGCAATGTTCATGTTACTTGTATTTGTATGGTGGGAGGGGGGGTTAAACCTTCAACCTTTTCATTACCAATGACATACAGTATATCATGATATCAATGACTTTGCTTAACCCTTAGTCGTGAAGGAATAAAGCACGTTTGGCACCATTATGTCCAGGATGTGTGGCTCTGGTTTTTGCCAAGGGTAATAAATAAATAGTTTGCAATTCTAATATACCCAGCTGTCCATAATCTCACATCAGTTGTTTATTTACTGTGTTACACAATATAGGAAGTTAAGATAAAGGACAAGTAACAGGGAATATCATAGTCTAATGTTCTACGTCTATTGGAAACTGAACTTTGCACTCCATGGAAAAACGGATATGACCAGCCCTTTTCTGATAGGACTTACATGATTAATACCATATAAATGTTTGTATTAAAGGTCCTAAGCTGAAATGTTGACAGCATTCAAATAATTATTTATTCATTTTTGTGTTTTTGGTAAAGCCTGTAAATTCCTTCAATCTTTAAGTATACTTTGTGTCTCTGTATAAATGTGTGTATAAATATAAAAATATATGTGTGTGTGTGACTTTACAGTGCAGGAACGACAATATCTGTATTGCATGATTTCAATGTTTTTAGTGATTGTCATCCAGACAGCTGACTGAATTGGATTTGCCAAGATCATCAAGATTGATAATCGGCCAAGGAGGCAGGACCAGCCAACAAGAGAGACATATTAATTAAAATACATTTTTATTGGTAACCTAAACGGTGACTATGACTATAACTATAGTGTTAGGAATAGAGATTTGTGTTCCTAACATTATACTGTTCTTTAAAGGCAGCAGGGAGCTACTCATACCAACTTCAGGCAGAGGTATTACCCTAAGATTTAAGGAATTTTAGCCATAACCCTATTAAAAAAACAAAAACATGAAATATGAAAGTTTCATAACAGTGAAGTGACTACTAGAGATAAAATAAGGACATCTCAGGGTTTATCCAAAACTCCTTGTTGACATTAAAGGAACACTATTGGGTTAGAAATACAAACATGTTTTCTCAACCCTAAATTAAGATCGTCCAGCAGGTCTGCCAGCGCCGGGGTCACCCCCAATCTGCCTCTTTTGCTGACATCATCAGAAGTGATGATCTCAGCCAAGGAGGCGGGCCAGGGGCAGAGCCTCATGCCATCATAGCCAATCAGCATCTCCTCATAGAGATGCACTGAATCAATGCATCTCTATGAGGAAAGTTCAGTGTCTCCAAACAGAGGGTGGACACATTGAATGTCAGTCACACTGTGCACCACTGCCCCAGGAAGTACCTCTAGCAGCCACCTGAGGAGTGGCAAATGGAGGTATCCATTAATTTAATGTAAATACTGCATTTTCTCTGAAAGCTGTAGTTGTTCTGGTTATTGTAGTATCTATTTAATATTCCAATAATCTACACTTCACAGCCATGCACTGTTTTTCATGCTCTCTCTCTCTCTCTCAATGTAATTCTGACTGGCAGGATGTATAAGAACAATGTGCTCTACCTGGCTGCAATGGGTGACCGGGTTGTGTAAAGCATTAATATTCACATTGGTGACTTGTTAGAAAAGATTGCTCTCTGCACATATAACCGTATGTACTAATATTCATGGTTTTCTTAGAGGATATCCAGGTGGTGTTCGGGGATGAAGAGTGGGAGGCCCGTGCTGATTTCGCACAAGCTGACGTACACCGACAGATTGCCATTGTCCTGAAAACTCCTCCGTACCGTGACCTCCACATCATGGATCCGGTCACTGTGTCTGTATACCTGCAGAGAATCACAGATGGCATCCGGAGTGAAGGGGTTAACTTCACCTATAAACCACGTATACAAGGTGTGTTTAAAGAGTCCAGATCAGCTATGGATAATATTATTTGTTTTCCCTTTTGTAATATGGTGGTGTTAAAGTTTACCTTAAAGTGAATTTACTTGTTTATATCTTAATATAGCCTTTGTTATACTATACCAGCTAATTATTGTATTTATTTTCGATTCATGTACCTTTTTTTTTTATTATTTTAAATAAAACATATGCCCACCTTTCCCACTCCCCCTTTTTGACTGCCATCTTTCTGCACCTTCACATCGGATTGTGAGTTTTTTGAGACAATGCGCTCCGCTTTGCAACTTATTCTCAAAATTGTGTGCCCTCTCTGCCCGTACTATTTTCTGACAGGCAATTTTAAAAACATAAAGATTACATTATGATATTGAAAACAAAACCCTGTATATTCATTTAAGCAGTTATTATACAGATAGCCTACCTTGTAACTTCCAACTTCAAACAAACACTCTAGGACATTGTAAAGAAAATATTTAAAAATAAAGGACATAACTGCTAAAAAAAAATTATATAAAATGTTTCCTGCAAAAAAAATTTTTTTTTAGCTATAGGGAATCTGTGCAAATATCTGACTTGTATTGTAGAATGGTAACTTCTGAACTACAAATCCTAAGAACGTAGCTCACAACAGTGAGGGTTTACTTTGATGTAATAAAAATATTCGTATGTTTCCCTACAGTGGAAACACTGTTTGACAAGTGTAGATTCAGCTATAGGCCCGGGATTTATATCTCATAACTGAAAGCCATTTTGACTTGCTAGGATGTTTCAGAAAAATGCAATTTCTTTCTCTTTTTGAGACTACCCAGTCTCTTTCCTGTGTAAATTACCGTAATAACAAATAAAGTGACCAGTAACAAATGGTGCTTTCAATAATGTCCAGACAATTATTTATACAATGTGCAAATTGTGTAAAAAAACAGCACTTAAAGTGCAAATAGCCCCTACGTGTACACTCCAATAAAATAAAAAAGAAATATAGGAGCGCTGTGTTTTTAAATACAATAAAAAAAATAGTATAAACACACTTATTTTAAAAACCATCAAGGTGTATATAAATCACTATAGTGATCTTGTGCAAAACCTATTTTGGTCCCAATATTGTGCAATGCCTGTGCCATAGTCCATATGATGGAAATCAAAACACTTGCAATCAATCAGTTACGTAAAACTGTCGGCACATATGTATCCTTCACTTCAGCTCAAAGACAAAAAAAAACAGAGATAAATAGTGTAAATCTGTGTGTAAAAACAGTGAATACTGAAATACTATGATGGAACACTCACAAACAAAGAGCAAAACTTGCTGGATCACCCGTGTGCAGAGTCTCTAGACCTCCCAGTCCGCCGCTGGCTGCAGGACTATGGGCTTTCCAACATCCTACACGAGCACTTCCAGGAGACAGGGTTTGCATCTGAACCATCTGTTTGGACCCAAATCCTGTCTCCTGGAAGTGCTCGTGTCGGTTGTCGGAAAGCCTATAGTCCTGCAGCCGGTGTCGGACTGAGCGATCTGGTGACTGCACAAGGGAGAGAAGTACTGGGGACGTTTTTACTAACATTTGATGCAATAATGTATTTGAAATATACCTGTTGCTGGCATCCTTTCCTGCACTGTTTACCCATTAAGAGACCCAATCAAGCTGATCAGTCAGAGCAGGCTCATCTGCTTTTTGTTTGTGAGAGTTCCATCATAGTATTTCAGTATTCACTGTTTTTATACACAAACTTACACTATGTAGCTCTCTCAATTTTTTAGTCTTTAAGGTGAAGTGGAGGATACATATGTGCCTACAGTTTTAAGTAACTGATTGATTGTAAGTGTTTTGATTTCCATCATATGGACTTTGGCAGAGGCATTGCACAATATTGGAACCAAAATAGGTTTTGCACAAGATCACTTCAGACCACTTTATTTTAAAACCATGATGGTTTTAAAATAAGTAAGTGTGTTTACACTATTTTTTAATTGTATTTAAAGACACAACGCACCTATATTTGTTTTTTTTTATATTACAGTAATACGTTTCTGAGTTTGCAAATTTAGGGCTAATTTAGATCTATTCATAGATTGGTTTCTGCAACAAACACCGGGTTATATGCTAAAGTTTGAATTCAGCTGAAAATTTCAAATGTTATGCCAGAGCAGCTGAATGGAAAGCATGGCTGACTTAGAGAATGTTTCCAGTTCAAACATTTTAACCTTAAATTTGAAATTCACTTTGAATTCACCTTCAATTCCCACTTTAGTAAATAACTCTATAAATACGAATTTTACACAAGATAGATCTTCCTAAATTTAGTGCTGAAAGTGAAATCTTTAATGTTCTCATACTTTTATCAGTCCTGCGAATGCATCTAGTGAGACAAACATTGTAAAGCTGAAAGATCCGATTTACTTCTAGCGTTTAAGAAAAACAAAACTTCAGCTTTTACGTACGCATTCACTGAATATTGCATTGTGGTCAATTTGTATCCACCTCCACTATCTGTCCTTGCTTTTAGTTTGACACAATTCTCTGTAGGGACATTGTGTTTTTTTTATTATCTATTTTCATGAATGCACATGGAAAACCAGAAAAGAAAGAAACTGGGTATTAATTCAAAGTCAATTTAAAGCCAGAGTAGCGGAACTGACAGCATAGCTGACTTAGAGAATGTTTCCAGGTCAGCTATTTTGACCTTAAATTTGGAATTCCCACTCTAGTGAACAACTCTGTGAGTGTCTTGTGATTTCAAATCTGCCATTTTGAAGAAATCTAAGACCTATTGTTTTTTTTCCTTATTTATTCTCTCTCTCTTTATCTTTAACTCTGCCTCAGATCTCTACGGTTTGCACAACAAGAAGCGACGCTACTCTCCTCAAGATGATATAAACGACCCAGGTAGGTATACATTAGAAACAGACGACCTGCTACGGACTGCGTGACCCGTTATGCACACAGCAGCTGGAATGCTGGGAATCAGGTGTTCCAGGTAGCCTTTTGTACTCCAGCTGCACTTGTATCAAGTTAAAAAACTTAAATTCAACTTTATTTATTCAACAGATCCACACTGCATTGAGGCAAAAAGGAACCGTCCGATACCTGATTTTATGGATCACTGCATTCCTGAACAAGGTATAGCTTGTAAATAATCAAATGTAAATGGGGGCATTTACAAGATTTTTTTTTTCTTCCCCCATTATGCCTGAAAATATCTTTATTTGCCCTAAATCACATAATGATGTATTTTGATATATATTTTATATTATAGAATAATGCGTTGTATCCTCCGTACAGCACCTTTTACATGAACAAACACAACATTAATCCACAACTTTAAAATCCTTTATCTCACATCACATACATATCTGTGCCACCTCATGACTGCTAAAGCCATACCAGCACCACTCTACATTAATCATTTTTACTTGATAGAGGTCTTTTATTGACTCACAATATGTTCTCCCGATGCCAACTGCTAAAAATTGCAGAGAAATAATGTTGCTTTCTTTTTATCCTTTCCATTTCTGCCCTTCCTTGTCCAAAAATATTTTTTTTGTTTTAGATGATGTATTTTTATAAAACTTAACAATTGGAAAAAACTAACACACATCTTTTAACCAGGGACAGAATTCTGTGCACCATATGCAGTAAATCATTACCAAGAATACTGGCCTGGTTACTCTGCTACATTTGAAGAGGATAACATTGGACAATCTCTGGTGGAAGAAGTTGGATTGAGCACGCAGCCACCATTGCCTGATTACAATTTTCAAGATCCAACTATCCTACCTCAATTCGAGGAAATTACTTCTACCTTTGATGGTGTAGAAACAGCAGATCTGTTTGGGTCAAGCTTGGCCCTCACCGAACAGGGACAGGAATTCCCAGATTATTCCTTTGAAAGAGTTGGTTAGACTGTTGAAGATTGCACCCATTATTAAGAGGCCTAAATTGTGATGAAAACCAATTTCTTCGTATGTCACCTGCAATGAATATTCTACACATCTAGTTCAACTGAACTATGTGTGACTGCGGTGCAAGTGGAAGCTAATCTTAACCTCTGTGATGGCTTGCTGGTTGGGTAGCATTAAAGATTAAAAAAAATAAATCCCATCAATGCGAAAAATTCTCACAAATATGGACAACCGTTATGGAACGGAATTATGGAAAATTTGACCGCATGGATTTGAAACTTTACTCTCTTTATCCTGGCATGTTACAGTAATCCCAATTCTTACACAAGTTTAAATGCTCATTCATGAACGTCTCTTGAGCTGTGAAGAATATGGATCATTTGTTGGACTGTGTGTCTGGGGGACATTGGGATAGGGGGAGAGAATGCACTTTTTAAAAACATAGTTCTTACATTTGAGCACTTAGGGGTAACAGCCATCTTTTTGATCCAGTATCTTTCTTTTCCAGACTGAGAACCGTGGGTTTGGTTCCTGGAATTGGGTTATATGGGATGCTTTTTATTGCAAGATTTTAGATTTATATTGTATTCGAAAGCTGCTGATTAAAAACATGCAATATGGAAGCCTGTTTAGCAGCCGAAAGCACTAACATGTGTATGTGATATATATATTATATATATTATATATATTATATATATATATATATATATATATATATATACACACACAAAATATATTTCCTTTTTTAAAATAAATAAGTTGTATGTGTTATCCATTTGTGGGCAGATGATGAATCACACATTAAAGTCTAGGAACATTTCTAGATTTTATTAGACAGTATAAAATAACAGAAACTGATGCATCAATCCATTTCAGTTGATGAACCCATCTGTGTGCTCTCCCAAAGTCAATACTTTCTTCTTTTATACTTCAAAAGTTATGGTGTAATAGTAAATTGCTCAAACATGGTTAATCCATAATAATGCAGATTAACAAGATATAGGCAGCTTGTCCACCCTTACGCACAGATATTTGCCAAGACTAGCCCCTTGGGTTCTTGCTCCCACGTTACACAGCAGAAATGACTAGCACATAATGGACCACAAGACATACTGCACGGACCAGGGACTCCAAACTCTGGTTGTATTGTCACCTCCTGAACACTATGGCGTCCAAAAAGGGTTGTAGCCTGTTTTAAGTACTCCTGGTATGCTTCAGGCTCTGTGCAGGACAGATGGAGTGTGGCCACTGTGTGACCTTGAGCGAGAGCCCACACATGTAATTCATGGTGACCTTTAGGACCGAACAGAATGTCTAAGTCCCGTCTGAGGCCTGCTAGGTCAACGGAGGGTGGCACAGACTGGAGCAAAATGGAGCCATTTTGAATTATGCTTGAATATACAGAAATCAGCATGATTATTATAGAAGCTAGGCAGAGAGCTGCATCCATGTAGTGCAATACGGGGTGACTGAACAGATAGAAGGAAATGCCGCTGACCAGGAGAAAACATGAGGGAGTTAATGAGACCAGCAGGAGCATGACTGGCGTCCATCTTGATTGTTGTGTTTGTATTCTTCCTATGTAGAAACCTGATCCTGAGAGAGAATACATAAGAATACTCAAACTGTATACTGAGTCTGTAAACTTCAAAAGCACATAAAGCAAGGCAGTAAGGAGACATGGAAGACACAGAAAAACAGGGATGGGGAAAGGAAATCACTATATGCCGACTCTTACCTTTCCACACATTTGCTGTGACTATGTATATGGTATTAAAGAGCAGGCCTACCGCTCCCGCTACTAGTATTAGAACTGGACGTTGGGGGGAGTGAGGACGTACAATGCGTCCCAGTGACATTAGAGTGAGGGAAAGGCCAAGGGAGGAGAGAAACAAGGGGGCGAGTAAGGAGAAGAGAGTAGGAAGGCGGATACGAGCATAGTGGGGTAACTTGGAGGAGTGAGAAAGAATAAAAGGGGGACAGAAATTAATGAGAAGGTAGAGGGTATGGCCTGCATCAGAGAGGGCGAGCAGCGAGTCCGAGAGGCGGCTCAATGTGAGCTGAGTAAGGAGGACAGCGAGGGTCGGAACGATGATAAAGTATTGTGACACCATCCTGTGAAAAAGAAATGAGAGAGAGGGTGTCAGTGCTATCCCTTCTATTTCTTACAAATACCTCTGCCAGACGTTTAGTGACTCTGGAATTGTAAAGTGAGAAAATAAAAAAATAGCCAAAGCTTAAATTGATGTTCTAGGACTGAGTTTACTCGATTCGTTTTTTAAATGCAGATACGGTTGAGTTAAACGCAAAAACAATACATTTTATTATTCTGTAAAAAATGTGTCCGTATATGAAGAGACACTCTTGGGAAAAAAATACATGATTAATTGATATATACTCATACGCGTTTGCAGTTTATACCATGAGCTCTCCCCAGAGTATGAAGATACTTATCCAATCATGACACTCTCCTAACTTTTTATGGCAATGCTGAGTTCATCCAATATACATACACACACACACACACACACTCATGACTTTTCTATTTTGGGCACAGCTGCAGCATTTAACTTATTTTTATGTTAATCATTTCTTAGCGTGATGTAACCACATTCGTTGTGTAGATCTAGCGTAAGCATGTCAAACATGCGGCCCACAATGCTTATTTTTGCGGCTCGGCTGCCCTGGGGCCGCTTTCAGCTGTCTCTGCGACCAGCCGCAAGACAGGAAAAATATTTCCTGATTCTTGCTCTCCCGGCCACAAGAGGGCAGAGCAAGTGCCAGAGGAGCGTCTGGTCTGGTTCAGCAGGGCTGGAACTGGAGGACATGGACAGAAAATTGTAAGATAGGAGAAGAGGGGCTTGGGGGAGGAGGACAGTGCATTTATTTGGGGGAGGGAGACAGTGTGGTGGTGGTGGAGGGCAGTGTATTAATGAGAGGGAGATGGGCAGTGTATTAATGAGAGGGAGATGGGCAGTGTATTAAGTTTGGGAGGGGGCAGTGTATTTATTTGAGAGGGAAGGGAATTGTGTATTAACTTGGGGGATTTAGGGGGCCAGTGTTTTAATGGGAAGGAGGGGGGCACTGTAATTAGTTGGGGAAGTCAGGGGCCAGTGTATTAAATTGGGGAAGGGGGGCAGTATATTTGAAGTAAGGAGGGAGCAGTGTATTTATTTCAGGAAGGGAGGGGCCAGTGTATTAGAGTGGTGAGGGAGTGTGTTAAATTAGGGCTAGGGAGGGCAGTGTATTAAAGTGGAGTGGGGGCAGTCTATTCAATTAGAGCAGACGGAAGAGGGGCAGTGTATTGGTTTGTGGGTGGTGTATTAGAATGGGAAGAGGGGCAGTGTGTTAAATTGGGTCTGCATGGAGGCACCGAATGCTCCCCCTGGAGATGATTGGCTGCGCAGTTTTTGCCACACATGCACAATAGCCTCCCAATTCTTTCCTATTGGAAATCATTGGATTGGCTGAGATCATCAAGTTTGATGATCTCAGCCAAAATGAAGGATACACTCCTAGAACTTCAAAATAAACAAGATAACGTAATTAGTTTTTTTTACAGCTGTGCAACAGCATACATTCACAATTTCCGTCCCATTACCAAACATTTGTTAATATGTCAAGGTAGGTGGACTGAAACGTTGGTTATATGCAAATGCACGTCTCCTTAAAATAAATTCGCTCTTTTGTTTACTTTGAAGCCCTACGAGCCTGAGGACATCCAGTGTCAGTTAGGCAACTTTTTTAATACTATACTTTTCTAAATAAACCTACGTTTCTACAAAAACACAAACGCAAACCTTGTTTATTTGGCCGTCTTATCCTTTGAGTTTGACATGCTTGCTTTACAGAGAGGGTAGTGGACGCATGCAATAGCCTACCAGCTGAAGTGGTAGAGGTTAAAGGGACACTATAGTCACCAGTGCAACTACATGTATTCCTGACCCTATAGTATTAATACCACCATCTAGCCCGCCTGGGCCCCTCATGCCTCCATAAATATAGTAAAAATCTTACAGTATTCAAGCCAGAAGCTAACTGCATGCTGTTAGACTCAGAAAATCAAGCAGTCTGCTGACATCATCAGAAGTGGTAGCCTGATCCAATCACAGTGCTTCCCCATAGGATTGGCTGAGACTGACAAGGAGGCAGATCAGGGGCAGAGCCAGCATGATTCAAACACAGCCCTGGCCAATCAGCATCTCCTCATAGAGATTAATTGAATCAATGAATCTCCATGAGGAATGTTCAGTGGCTGCATGCAGAGGGAGGAGATACTGAATCACAGGATGCTCGTGCACAGCAGATCTGAGTGAATGGAGGCATATTACGCCTACATCAACAACGAAGTCCCTCTGGTTCTCTGTGAGTGACTGCAACTGGTGGTGTTCCTAGCCTTCAATGTAAACACTATTTTCTCAGAAAATACAGTGTTTACATGAGAGACTGCAGGGAGCTATAGTTCTCACCTGAACAAACTCATTAAGCTGAAGTTGTTCAGTTGACTATAGTGTCACTTTAACACAGTGAAGGAGTTTAAGCATGCGTGGGATAGGCATAAGGCTATCCTAGACTTAAGATAAGGTCAGGGACTAATGAAAGTATTTAGGAAATTGGGCAGAGTAGATGGACCGAATGGTTCTTAATGTCACATTCTAGGTTTATAGAGAGGGAGAAGGCAAAAAACAAGAAAATTATGGTGGGAACAAAAATTGTGATTGAAAACTCCTTCCACCCGAAGTCAGCAGATAGTGAATATAATGTTAAACAGACCAGCACACCAGTCAAGCTATAAGACTTGCTTTTCCCACAGAAATCTCAAATTTGCTGTGATACTACTGCAAAGGATTCTGGGTGGGCATATGCAAATTAGTTCAACAGAGAATCACATTTTTGCCTCATTATTTCATTTTAAACATGGATTCCTTGGAGTCTGTGTTTGCTGTATACAACAGCTTTGAAACAACTCAGGAAGAAATACAAAGTTTCTTGGTTTTTGCTTCGTAAGTAACGCCAAGCCTCAGTAGCAAGCCGGTAACCAGGCTCATGCTGATGAATCCTTTGCAGTAGTAACATCACTGCAAATTTGAGATTTCAGTGGGAAAAGCAAGTATTATGGCTTGACTGGTGTGCAGATCTGTGTTTAACAATGTATTGACTATATGTAAAAAATAGAGACAGACACAATCTCTCTCACACTCACTCGCTAATGGTGTCCGTGCCGGAGTTGGACCCAGTCAATCAGCAGCTGGTGCCTGAGAGAAGTCATTTGTCTAGCCATGCACTGCTTGGACATCAAAGGAAGCCACCTATGGAGAAGGTCACCTCCCTTGAATTGCAGTAAAACCTGCAAAATAAAAGATATTACTTACCTGGAATCCAGAGCCGGGCGAAGCTCCCGGTGCTGATTTTCCGCGTCACCTCAGACGTCACATTGGCCGTGCATGGTCCAATCATAGACTTCTCATAGAGCATGTGCAGAGGGAGTGGAGAGGAGGAGAAGTTAAAAAAAAAAAAAAACTAAAAATGATCTGGAATGGAGGTAGGTGGGAGACGAGAGCTTCTGCCTGCAAGGAAAACATTATGACGTGTGTCTGCAGCGTGCAGTGTTCACTGACTGCAGACCTATTTTATGCACAGAATTGACACTGGTAGCACAGAGTTAAAGGCTGTCAGTGTCACTTGTGCTAGGGTTGCAATTAGCCCCCCGCACACAACTTCAATTATCGTATTGTACACTGTGTCAAGCTGATTTTATTCTTTCTGCCTGAATAAAACATCTCTGGCAGTATGTTTTAAACATTAGAAAGGAGTTACTCTGGGGGCGGGGCCTGACACTCAAGAAGACCAGACATGTCTCAGCATAGCTGCGGCTCTCCTAACACTAAACTACGGCTGAGATGCAGAAGCCCCTCTGACACTATACCAGCCTGAACCGATTTTATGCGTGGAGTGTTCCGATCCAACAAGCTTTCACCAGGGTTTCGTCTCACGGTCTAGTGCACCAGACGACAGGGAGAGGCGGGCGATCTCCCGGCCTGAAGAGCACTGCTCATTACAGCCTCTCTGCAGCTCCGTTACCATCCCCTGGACCAGTGGGGGTAATCCTCAAAGGCAAAGAAAATTGCAATCTGCGGCTTTTGATGCCACCCTATGTGCAGCCTTTTGGTCCCAGATCGGGTCTCGCCAGCAGCAACTACCACCCACCTCGACCGCAACAGGGGATGTCCCCAGCGGCATTCCAGCGCTCTGTCCTTCCTCCAGGCCAGGAGCCAAGATAGAGGTACTGTCCATCAGCTGTCCACAGCCCTGTGGGGCGGCCTGCGGAGTGGGAGCCATGCAGAACAGCAGTCCTACCAATGCACCGGCTCATACACCGACCTGGGCATGGAGAGGGGAGAAAATGACGTCTCGCAACGTTCATCTCCATAAGCTGGGAGATCGAGATCCCCATGTGGAGCCGGAAAGCAAAATGAAAATCATCCGGAGACTTGTGCCTGGAAGCAAGATCGGCTCACAAGTGAGGCATACCTGTGGTATCGGCTGAAGCTACATCAATTACCCATTTTAAGTCTATCCTCATGGTTATAACGCACCAAGCTGCAAGATAGACATTTTAGTTATAGTTTTAATTTTGCTATAGGAGTCAATGTAGCATCTAACTTTGTCACTCTAGTGTCACTTACTTTGCCACAACCTGGTGGCCTATCACTTCTCACTTACCTATCTGCAGACCTCACCTGTTACTCAAACTTAATTGCAAAGTCTACTTACATATGCACTATGCTTGTATCATTATAAAAAATTTTTTTAAATGTGCTGATTGCAATGCACAACTGTTTATATTCTATTTATTTACATATTCTTTGGAATATTTGTATATTGTGCAATCTTTGTTTTTTCATATGCATAACAAAAAAAAATAAGAATACAAAAATAAAAAAGGAGTCACACTGTGTCATAATTGCACAGCCTAGTTCTCCTGCTAGTGTCTAACTCCCATCACAGCCAGACATAATTTGTGATTAGTTAATTTTTAACCCACCAATCATGGTTTGATTTAATTCAGAAAAAAATACAAACCAATTTTACTACCTGTGGATAATACACGTATGAACTAAATATGTATTGCTGTCTTAAAAGGGCGATCAATTAATTTATATTATTAATGGTTAACATTATATTCACAGGATTATTTACTAAGTGGATTTCAAACATTTCTCCAAACTAGTTGAGCTGAAAACAGACCATTTGGAGATTTAATTTTCAAATTTGACTATTTTGGTCTACAATTTGAAATTCATTTTGAATTTCCAACAATTCACAAATGAAGTGATTAACTAAAATAACAATTGTCGGGAATTCAAAGAGAATTTCTAAATTACCAAACGAGGAACAACACGGACCTGGACATTTTTTTTTTTTTTTACAGTTTGACTATTTTAGCCTTAAACAGCCTTTATTAAATAAGCCTGTTTACGTTAAAACCTTAGAAAAAAAAGTGTGGATTTTTTTTATAGCATATACTATCATAGTACCTTAGCATTTGGGGGTGGAGGGGTGGGGAGGTACTTTATGTGCAAAATAGATATATATATGTTGTTTTTCTGATGACATGAAGCCCTGTAGAATCAAACATTTCAGCAACAGAAAAGAATTTAAAAAAATCTAAACACTATTCACTGAAGTGTGACTTGAAAATAAATTTCAAATTTTAGTTCAAAATCATCAAATTGGAAGAAATCTAGTTCTCATGATTACTCAGAAACGTATACTTATCTCATTTACACAAGCACTCTGCATTATGTAGCAGGCAGTGATGGTATTTGTGATCCGATACCAACTAAAGTTGTATAAGTTTTGAGAAGGTGGTCATTGGCTAATAAACTTTGAAAGGACAGTCTGTAAACTTGGTCCTGGTCACTCTATACATAACTGAGATGCAGCCATGTAGAATAAAGTGTATGTAAGTCTACTGCAGAAAGAAAAACTCTGCTTATAGTCCGCTGTCTTTCACTACGAGCCTTCTGGATCCCCATAAAGCTTCACAAGTGATCCTTCGTGTATGGCTCTGCACTTCGTGTCAATGCATGGGATCTTTAAACTGTGCTGTGTTAGAGAGGAGGGAGAAAGGCTGCTATCTCCTAATTCCCATCCATGTCACGTCTTATTTTCCTCTGCTCAACTTTATAGTTTCGTGCCCCTTATTTCTACCCCCTCCCCATCTTCCCTGTCTCCATCGTTACCTATCACACAGTCCTTTACTATTTTACCTTGTGCAATATTCCTCCTTTTTTTCACTTACCTTTTTGTGTTTCTTTTAGTTTCTGAATGCACTTGTGACTTTTTGCCTCCCCTCTATATCATGTGCTAGACCCACTCCCCCTTCTTTCTATAGAGGGTCACTGTCAGCCCTTGTCCTCCTGCCTCCCATTCAGTACAGTGTGTCTTACCTCTCTCTCCTCCCAAATCCTCTAGCTCTCTCCTCTCTGCTCTCCCTCTGCAACTTGAATGAACCTTCCCTCTCCTCCCTATCTCCTTGTTCCCCCTCCCCATCCATTCCTTTCTCTGAGCTCAGCTGACACTGGCGTACAACAAAGCCCCTTTATATATTGATATTTACCCCCTGAAAGAGAAGGGAAAATTAGTAAGAACATGTACTATGGCCACTGCACTCATTGACCTAAATATTTATTTCATTTTTGTCTAAATCTTATTTTTATGTCACAAACTGCATTTGGATTTTTTCTACCCTTTTCAGATTCAAGCATTGCACTGGACATCATTGCACTGGGCGTCCAAGAGCTGACATTAACTTTTTTGTGTGCAACAGAGTAGCACACTCAAGCGCACTGCTGTAGCTCAGAAAGGGTTTAATCAGTTACCATGACAGGTATTTTCCAATAAGACAGAACGTGAGAACCTATACAGGTGTGGAGAGAGTTGGTGACACTAACTTATAGCTAATGTCTGGCAAAATGCTTTTCTACTTATTTATCTCAAAGAAGAGATTAGGAATAAAGGTTGATGTTTAGAAGTCAGATTTGTTTCGAGAGGTTTTGCTAAGCCTTACCTTAATCCCGACCGCAATCCGCTTCAAGAGTCCCCCCATGAAGCAAATACCATGCACTTCTCACAAAGGGAAACAATTCCAGATATTTAGCACAGAGGCCTGGATAATGAACATTATTCTAGACTTTAAGATTAGCCGGACTCTGGACTTTATCCAGTAACATATATGCTATACCGCCTGGCTGGTAAATGATTTCTAGCCAAGGTCTTTTGTTAAGATGTAGGCAAAGTCTGGACACAGACAAACAGGAAGAAAAATAAATAAATAGCTACGGCAGACGCAGAACTGCAAGACAGAAATTGGAAAAAGTGGGGGGAAAAAAGTAATGAAACAAGTGGGAGCTTTTATTGCCCAGAAGCAACGCCTGCAGCATCATTAAAAGGACACTCCACTGTCCAAATACAAAATAAATAAATAAAAATCACTGTTTAGTAGATATACCACAAATGAAAATGTGCATACATTTAATTATGTCTTTTTTTCATTTGGGAAAATATATCTAAACTCAGCTTGCAAAACCTGCTGTTATCTTGTCTGCTGCCTTTGCAAGCTCTCCCCTTCTAACCCTGCCCAGACTTTATGTGCCTCCCCGTCACAGAGTTCCCAATACAGCTTAATGAAAAGTCTTTGTAAGTCAGGTGCTCTGGGCAATTGCTGCCTCTTCGGGGTCTGCTGCATTGAGCTAACGAAAACCAGGAAGTAACATTACCTGTTGTCTGCTTGAAAGCCAAGGGGGTGTAACCAGGTTAATTAATAAAACTGTCATTTTGTATTGAAATCTGCACTTTTTGCAAAATGAAAAAAAGAGGACACACTTTTCACACAAAGCTTTTCAACAATGTAAAGTTGTTTAGGGCTCTGAAATTCCCTTTAAGGTTGACTAAACCTTTTAGAGCAAGCATGTCAGTGAGTGTGTGTCTGTCTGTCAGTGTGTGAGTGGATCAGCATTGCATTGGCTGCGACTGGACAGTGGAGTGCATGGAGGCACGCAACGCCACGTCACATTCCGACGTGACATCAACGTGCTCCACCTTCAGGGTTTCAAGAAGTAGCGGGAGGATCAGATTTGGCACAGGGTGCGGACGGCGCCATTTGGGAGACCGGACTCCGGAGTCACATACTGGCAGCGGCAATGTGAGTGGAGTCTGCTTGTTGGCTAGAGGGGGAGGACTGGGATTTAGTGTATGGGGTGACACACTGGGATTTAGTATATGGGGGACGACTGGGATTTAGTATAGAGGGTGCTGTGGTTTAGTAGAGGGGGATGCTGTTTTTTATTATGGTAATTTTCAAAATAAACCTACGTTTCTATGAAAATGTAACCCCTTAAAACCGGAGGGCGTACTATTATGCTCTATTCTAAGCGGCTCTAAACGCCCCCGACCATGATCGCTGTACATCCTCACGGTTTTTGTTACTTACCCGGTCACCGGCGATCATGGTCGGGGGACTCACGTGGGATCCCAGGGGGGCCCCCGCGGCGGATCCTGCCTCCTCTGGCCCCCCCCGGCCATGAGAGAGTGAGGTGTTTGCAAGGACCTCACAATCACATGGCCAGGTTAGCTGGCTGCTGCATTGCCAGCAGGGGGACTGCCTGTAATGACAGTTAGTCCCCCTGCTGGCTGGAAATGAAATGAAATAAAAGAAAGTTAAAATCAGTGTAAAAAACAAAAACAATTATATACTTAGATCATATATATATATATATATATATATATATACACACACACACACACACACACACACACACACACACAGTGTCTAGGTGTATTTTACTATTTATATATAATTATATATATATTTTAATATCAAATTACACGTAGACTGATACTGATTAAATATATAATTATTGTTATATATATTTATATAGAATATAAAAAAAATGTAAATACGTTAAAAAATTTAAAAAATATATAGATGTGTGTTATTTTGTTCTAACTGTATTGTGATAGATATATATATATATATATATATCAAAATACACGTAGAACGAAATAATATATATCTATATACATAAATATATAAGTATATACCTATAAATAAAAATTATATATATATATATATATATATATATATATATACACACACACACACACACACATACATTAATTCTATATATATATTTATGTAATATTTTTACATAATTAGGTATCTTAATTAATTACAATTAGCGGGACCTGTCTGACAACCCATGCCAAAAGTATAGGGAATTTAATTTGCTAGCACTATATTTAACCCTATAACTTTCCAAGACACCATAAAACCTGTACATAGGGGGTACTGTTTTACTCGGGAGAACACAATGTGTTCCCTGAACACAAATTTAGTGTTTCAAAACAGTAAAATGTATTACAACGATGATATTGCCAGTAAAAGTGACTTTTTTGCATTTTTCACACACAAACAGCACTAACACGGACAATATTATTGCTGCGATACTTTTTACTGTTTTGAAACACAAATATTTGTGTTCAGCGAAGTCTCCAGAGTACAACAGTACCCCTCATGTACAGGTTTTATCGTGTTTTCAAAAGTTACAGCGTCAAATATAAGGCTTGTGTTTGATTTTTTTTCGAATTAAAATTCGCCAGATTGGTTACGTTGCCTTTAAGACCCTATGGTAACCTAAGAATGAAAATTACCCCTATGATGGCATACCATTTGCAATAGTAGACAACCCAAGGTATTGCAAATGGGATATGTCCAGTCTTTTTTGCCAGCCACTTAGTCACAAACACTAGCCAAAATTGGCGTTTTTTGCATTTTTCACACACACAAATATTAACGCTAACTTTGGTCAGTGTTTGTGACCAAATGGCTACTAAAAAAGACTGGACATACCCCATTTGCAATACCTTGGGTTGTCTACTATTGCAAATGGTATGCCATTATGGGTGTAAATTTAATTCCTGGGCTACTATACAGTCTCAAAGGCAACGTAACCAATCTGGCGAATTTCAATGTGAAAAAACTGAAAAATGTAATGGGCTATATTTGACCCTGTAACTTCCCAAAACACCATAAAACCTGTACATAGGGGGTACTGTTTTACACGTGAGACTTTGCTGAATACAGATATGTGTATTTTATTGCAGTAAAAGCAAACAGTATTATGACATTGACAGTTAAAATGTCATGTAGAACTAAAAAAATAAGAGCAAAAAACGGGTCGCAAAAGTATTCTGAGAACGGACAGCAGCTGAAATAGCCTGCCCTTCGGTGGGTCCCCGCTCAGAACTCCAGCTGGTTTTAGCTCATTTTGTGCCATTACAGAGAGAACATATCTGAAGCATATCAGACTGGTCCCACCCATATGGGCAGTCCAGATCCGAAATGCCAGCAAATTGCTCACGGTGCCTAGAGAGATATCAGCTATGGAAAAAGTAAACTATGCTGCTGGTTCAGCTACTCTGGCCTTAAAGGAACACCATATGGGGAGGAACACAAGCATGTATTCCTAACCCTATGGTGATAAAATCCACTATTTAGCCCCCCTGCCTCCACCCTCCTAAATATAGCAAAAATCTTACTATATTATTTCAGTCTGCTGCTACTGGCTCTGATCTTGATATGCCTCCTTGGCTGACATCATCAGAAGTGATGATCTCAGCCAATCACAATGCTTTCCCATGCAGGAATGCGTGATGTTGCATGCTTGGTTCTACGGAAAGCGAGGGGAGTTGTCTGAGAGATGCGTTTGTATGCATGCAGAGACCCGGATACAGACTGTGAGAGGCGTTGAGACACTGAAGCTTTACCCAACAAGGCAGAGTGTGGTGGATGTAAAAGCCGGTAAATCCCTGCCATAAAGCTTGAACTGCCCATTCATCCTTAGCAACAAAAACGGTCTAATATCATTCCTGACATCTCCTAAACCCAAACCACGACAATCACGAGGAGCAGACATGTCTCCACCACTCTACGTCCCTTGAAGGAGCCTCGACCACCGGACCCAGCACCTATCTAAAATCCTCTGACCTGGTCAACAGCTAATGATCTCAGGGATGCTTATAACACCCTCATCCTGCCTATCTATACTGGTTCTATATCCTATGTAAACCATGGTTTTACACCTTTGTATGTAATATTAAAAAGTACAAATAAAGGATTTACATTTTATTTATTTTTTTTATTTTTTTTATTTTTTTTTTAAAGCTGGTAAACCAGAGAGGGGGAAAACAAAATAAAATATAGAATACGGAGTTGAGAGAGTGGGCTGTGATGATGCTAATACAGTGCCTTAGTGCCCCAAAAAAAATAAAAAAAATTAAAAAAGCCCAAGAAGATAAACAAAGTTGCCAAAGCAAGCAAAAAGAATTACTGTATGGTGAATGCAGATAATGCTGCGAAAGATACATGTTGTAATCAACATTGTACTCCTGAGGTGTGGAAGACTGCTAAAAGGCACAGGCACAAAAGTTAAAAAGACCAAATATCTTTGCAAGCCGTCAAACACGATAAAGTATGAATGACTTGAAAATAATTGAAACAGCAAAGCATTAATTGAAATATCCAATATTACTGACAAAGACCTAACTCTGCTAGCGGTTTTAAAATAATAGGGTGTGCCCCACAAACAGTAGGGCGTTGGTTATATATTTCATTGTCCTGGTCTGTTTTCCAGTGCAATTTTAAGTTTAAACAAAAGACCAGATTAAAGTGAAGAGAAATAAACGGAAAGCTAAATTAAATTGAAAGAAATAAGGAGAAAGGACTTTTTTTTTTTTTGTCGTTTGTTGTTTTGAGAATGGCTCCCAAAAAGAGAAAAACGACTGATGGAGATAAAAAAAAAAAAAAAAAAGATACAAATGAAAGTCTTAATGCCTTCTGTTCTCCAAAGAATAATGAATATCTTCGTAAGCCCAAAGAAAATCATTACCTCCAGCAATACAACAGCCTCCCCAAACAAATTTCTCGGAACAACTCCCAATTAAAAACTCCATAACACGAGAAAATGATGGAATTAGCGTTAAACTTTTTATGGTACGATTAAGCAACATACAGACTATAATGGAGCTGAAAAAAAATATGTCATCCACGATGGAGAAAACAGAAAAACATTGAAAAGAAATAGAAAATGCCCAGAAGGGGGACATGGGCGGACCGCGATGCTGACTATTCGCATGCAAGACTAGCTCCTGAGAGCTTTTGGTTTATGAGCAGATAACCACCCAAACATATAGTCTTCTGGTATCTCGAAGCTGACATTT